CAAAGCTACACCGCGGCAGGAGGTCTTCGGTTTTATTTTGACTGGGGGGACGCCGGGAGGAGAAGAGGAGACTGAAAATTAAAGGGGGAAAGCGCGGCCGAAGCGCGAGAACCGGAAGCGCACTCGGCCGGGGTACCGCGGGCAAGCCCTCCCCCTTCCGCCGCGCGCCCTCCGCACCCCTCCCCCACCGCTGCCGCGGGCGCGCGACCCCCACTCGGTGTGCTTCCCCGCTCTGCGTCCCCTGCACCCTCCCACTGCCCGGGGACTCGGGAGCACGCCCCACCTCCCGTCCCCCGCTTACCTGTGGCTGTCGCCTTGCCGTTCTCCGGGGCGGGAACTTCCACTCCCCCCTCCCAGGTGGATCCGAATTTACTACCTATTTCCCCACCCCGTCACGCGGTGGGGGACGTGCCTCTTTTTCTAGCGTCTGGCGGGGCGGGGACAATCAGTGTCACTTAACAGCCAACTGTCCTAGGCTACCGTTTCCTCGGCAGTTAGGGCCGCCGCTGGCGGCATGATCTACACCAGGCCGGGGGCGGGGAAGGGAGGGGGTCAAAACTGAGTGAGCGTGGGGGGTGAGGTTAAGGCGGTGCCTCCGTAAGGGCCGCCGTCATACGTCTGCGTCACCACGTTGTTCACGTGTTGCGCCGCCATCTTGTGCCTAGTTTCCTCGGAATGGCGAGTTGTCCCGCCTTGGCTAGAGTTGGAGGTGAAAGTTGCGTGCGTTTTCCCAAGTTCTGCCCGCACTCCTTCCTCACGACTGCTTTCGGGGGGCCACCACCAGTTTGGTGGTTTCGGTGGGCCCTTCCTTGTGGGGCGGTAGATTAGCGGCGTCGCTTTCAGCTCAGGTCCCACCCGCTCCCTCTGGGTGTTCAGGCCCACCCACAGCTGTCCCTAGCTTTGACCCTCGCTGACCTGTCCGCGTCGTGTTATAGAGAAGTGACTGGAAGCAAGGAGGCTGGTCCTACTCAGCTTCTCTCGGTCCCACGTTTTTTAATCCCGTGGAGTTGCTTTCAGTGTTCTTTATCCTATATGGAAGGGTTTTCTACAAAGACTGATTTTTTAAAAACCCAGCAAGGTGTGGGTAGGGTATGTCACACTGAAGCCATTTATCCCAACTGTTAAACTATGTAGAAAAAAGTTACATAAAATGGAGTGTGGTAAAATAAAATGTTACACCGTTACTTTAATACATTACAAAAACTTTTATTAAACATTTTTTGATGTTTCTACCTTTCTGGGGAAGTTATGCGTTATTCTGAATATTTTTTTAGCCATGTCCTTGCAAGATGTTGTGGCTTTATACTGATAATAAATTATAAATGGTAAACCTTTGATATGTTCTTGACAAATTAAAAAGTTCCAGAATGTTCTGAGATTTTACTAGTTTGAGCCCTTCAATGAGGGAAACCAGTTGCTGTGTGCCAGACTCCAAGAGCCACAAACGTTTCACCCTGTGATTCTGCAAACGTGGTCCACCTATTGAAAGTTAGGATGGGCTCTGGCTGAGTAGTGCATCAGTTTGAGCCTTGTCCCCATACGCCAAGGTTTCAGATTTGACCCTGGGTCAGGGCGCATACAAGAATTAACCAATGAACGCATAAATAAATGGAAGAAAAAAATCAACGTTTCTCACTTTCTATATAGATCATTAAAAAAATAAAAGCTAAAACTTGCCTTACTTTATATTTTTGTTTGGGCCAATTGCCCAACCTCAGCTTGTCTTATCAAAGTTGGGGAAAATTAGTAATACTCAGCCCATGTCCCGGTATTATTTAATCAAAATGTCATATCATAGGAAAGCAAAGTGCCCTGTGAAGGTAAGGAGTGGGGAAGAGGTTGTCAGACATCAACCTTTCCTGATTAAAAACGTCCACTGGAATCCAGAACATTAGTGGCTGGAAGGCTAGTTCCATATTTATTGTTCTGTATTTGTTTCTTCCTTCCTTGGAAGGAATGCTTGTCAAGAGAGACTGAATTTTACTGAAACCTTCAAAATGTGCATGGATTGCTCCCTCTTTAGTTCCTCTCCCATCTGTAAAATGTCTTAAATCTAAATCAGATACTATACTGCAACACTGCCACTCACAAATATTCTCACCATCCTTGTTTCTCATGAAATGTCATGAGCTGTACCTACCACTTCTGAACCTTGAAAAATAACTAGATGAAAAAAATTAACTATTACTATTCAGTTGCACACTGTTCTACCTGAATATAACTGTGCAACTGAATACTAACAGTTTTATAAACCAGATGGACAGGTCTTTGACTTCAGATAGAAGTGAGGAAAGAGAAACAAATCTAACTTTCAAGAGTCAGGGCAATTGTGTTAAACTGGTCAAGCCAGTGGTGGCACCTCTTTGGCTTTTGTAGTAAGGAGAAACATTACAATGAAATGGTTTAACAATACTACCTATTCCAAAGGGTTTTGTGGATTGAGTGAGTTCAACGCATTTAAATCAGAACCATGCCTGGCAGACCAACCACTAATAAATGTTCATCTTTGTCAACTGAGAATGGAGGCTCAGAGAAACGAGTGAGGTCATCAGCTAGGCCTCTATCAACTACCATATCTTTGCCGTGTATAACACACTTTTCTGCCCAAATTCTTGAGGGAAAATAAGGATGTGCATTATATATGGGTAGTACTAATTCCGTATCCATTTTTAATTCTTTTATTTATGCTTATGTATTAAAAGTGTAACTCTAGAAAGTAATGACAATATCCGTATGCAAAATAATACCCTGGAATATGAGTTTTTTTTCTAAATATAAATTTAAAAATTTAATTGATTTTTTCCTGAAAGTTTGAGCGAACATGGATGCACATTATACACAGCAAAAAATACACTTCCACTATTAACCCAGTTTTACTTGGGAAAAAAAAAGCGTGCTTCCTTCCTTCCATCTGTTCTCTCTACCCCCTACCCTCCTGCTTCCTCAGTGCTTTATCAATTATCCCTTATTGCTGTATTTGGAAACTTTCCCTCTCTACCGGCTATTTCTCCAACACAATATTTTATTTCTTCCCTTTTTGAACAGCCTCCCTTAATCCTACAACCCTCTTTTAACTACTATCCCATCTCTTTCCTGTGTACAGATAAAACTTCTGGAAAGAATGGTCTCTGTTCAGTAACACCTCTCTTTACTCCTCACCTGAACCAGTTTCCTGTCATCTGCCTTAACTGCAACTGAAATCGCTCTGATCAAGGTCACCAGTGATTGTCTTGATGCCAGACCTAACCAGTCCCCTTTACTCAGCTTCATTGTAGCATTTGGCATCATTAACCACTTCCCTCCTCTTTAAAACACTTCCTATAATTTCTGTGCCCATATTCTTTGTTTTTGTTCCTACCTCTCTAGTTATTCCTTCTCTCTTTTGTGGTCTCATCTACCCCCATCAGTCTTTAAATGCTGTTGTAATTATCTCACTTGGTATCTTCCACTTCCATGGCTTTAACTACTTTTAAATGGGTATCTCCCAAATATCTAGGTTTTTTTTTTTTTTTTTTAAGATTTTATTTTTAGAGAAAAGGAGAGGGAGGGAGAGAAACATCATTGTGTGATTGGAAATCCAACCAGTGACCTTTCTGTTGGCAGGCTGGCACTCAATCCACTGAGCCACACCAGCGAGGGCCTAAATACCTAGTTCTTAACCAGACCTCCTCTGACGCAGAGACCTAAATATTCAGCTGCCTGTTGGACTTCTTCACTCACACATTTCATAGCACCTCAAATGAGCATGAGCAAAATGGCACACAGCATCTTCTTTGCCCAATCTAGTCTTCTTTTGTTCAGTCTTCAAAAACGGCCCCACACTCACCTAACTCCTTGTCATAAACATACGAGTAATTCTGAATTCCTGTTTCCTTACCCTGAATACTCACTCAGTAGTTGAAATCTTAGTCTTCCAAGTCTGCACACATTGCCTCTCGCCCCCATCCTTCACTCCCTTGGTGGAAGTATGCTTGTTTTATCACTGCAGTTACTGCAAAGGCCTCCCAGCCTCAGGTTTCACTTCCTTTCCCTACCCACACCAATCCGTTTTTTATATGTCTACCAGAATAATCTTCTATGTTGCAAATCTGAGTATTTTATTCCCTTGTGATAAATCCCTCATCAGCTCTCTTTGGCTTACTGGATAAAAGCCCACAATTCTTAGCATGATATACAAGGCCCTTAGTGATCTATCCCTTAGCTCAAGCCTCTTTTACTTTTCTCCCTTCAAACCCCGTATCCTAATAATGAACTGCAGTCCCCAGGGCATGCAAATCTGCCTCATCCCTTGTTGTCTTGATCTTATCTGGCTGTCTCATCCTCCAAAACTTAGTTCAGATGTTACCTTCTCCCTTCTCCGGCATATGTTCCTCACTATTTTTCCTCATCGTTGGCCTGGGTGCCTATCCTACCTGCCCCTACCCCTACTTGTAACCCTTAATTACACTGTGTTGTTTTCCTGTATTTCCTTGAGGGCAGTGACTTAATAGTTTTCTCTCTAGCTTCCTGATGGGAAGGCACCCAATAAAGATGTGCTAAATGAAAAAATGTTCTCAGATGCTTAAGGAGCTTGGACCATAGTTCAAGGACAACTTTTAGTGTCTGAGAACACACACAATTTGATGGGCTCCCATCAAATTTCTTGAAACCAGGGAATGGAAGAGCAAATGAAGTATTACATAAAGGAAAGCTGAAATCTAGCTTAATTACACAGTACAAAAAAATTAAAATTCACAAGAAGCTTAAAACCAGCAAATGTCACACAAGTGGGAGGAAAACTAAGCTATAATTAATGTTTCTGACAAAAGGCTTCTTAGTTTTCAAGATGACTCCACCGTTTCTTGATGTGGCCTCCTTCTACAGCCCTGACTTACTGTGATCTCTGTGTGCATCCTCTTCGACGGCACTCGCAGTCTTCGGGTGTTACCATTGCAAATTAGTTTAAAATTTATAAATTACAATGTATCAGTTCTGCCACTGTGTGAAGCATCAGACACAACCAGGCATCAATATTTATTAACACAAGACAAAGGAAACACATTCATATGAGTTAATAGAACACTGTCCAGCCAGAAGTTAAATTTAAAAATGTATATCTAGTCTAATTTCAAATAAATAAAAAACTTTATACATAATTACACAGTACTATAGTTTGAATTTGACACTGGTAAATATCTTGACAAAGTAAACAAAATGGCATTTAGGACTACAAAATTATTCTTGTTTCTTTACACTCTCTCTTTCTGGACAAATAGCATGGCCCATGTACATATACCTAAACCAGACATGTATGAATGACAAAGAAAAGGCCTATTGTATATTTGGAGTATTGCAGCTTCTTGCTCCAAATACTCTTACTCTTACATCAAAGCAGACAACAACACTAAGGCATAGATCATGTTGGAGTTTGAGGGTGAGGTGGTAACTCCTCATTCATTGCTTTAGCCTAAAAGATTCCTATATTCAAGGAAAGTAATTTATTTGGCCAAGATATTGAGCACCATGCCAGGAGCGGAGACCTTAATGAAAAATTAAAAAACAAAACAAAAAACCAAATCTAAGGCCTCAGGACTTTTGCTGATTCAACAAAAGCACTAATTAAGCAAGCATTGTCCAGGAACTACAGTTAAGGAGATACACTCACATGACCTAAGACAGGTAATGGTCCCTAAACAGCCTGAGGCAGCACAGCTTCATTAGGAAAAGACTGATACTGGGGGGTAAGTGGGCCCCTTTATGAGGCAAGAAGTAAAGACTGTGGATTCACTCATGCCCATTGGCATGCTGGTCTTTCGCACGGTCACCCCCAGTCAAGAGAGGGCATTTGTACAGTCTAAGAACCCCTAGGGCCTAGGATTTCTCCTGAGGCAGCCCCCTTCTTAGTTACTTCGGCTGAGAGGCAGAAAGAAGGTCAAAAACTTTCAGATGAATAGATTTCTCTTAACTGAAACAGGGAAGGGGGACTTGCTATTAATTTAGTTTTCTTTTTCACAGTCATACAAACCCAGACAGAACATGTTCCAGAGTTTTAGCAAGGCTCTTCCGTCAATAATGACCTTTTGGGCCTGCCTTACGAGTCAGTTTTACCACAAAATTTGTACGTAACATGGAAAGAGCAAGAGCGTTGGGTCATCAAGAGAAAGTTTTCTTGTTTAGGTCGGCAACAGACTAGACGCAAACACCTCTACTAAGCCCACGGCTGCACTCTCTTCCCCTTGCACAGGTACGTTACCAGCATTAGTGCTGAAGCTCCCAAAGACACCTCCCAGCTTTCTTTCCTCCACAAGCATATTTTGGCTTTGGGGGATATGCAAAAGATCAATAAAGCAGCCACAAGGCAGAAAGCAAAAACTAAAGAGAAATCAGAAGCCCAAGGACCTTATAAAACTAGATAATCAGCACCTAAGTATCTGGAAATCGGCCACACTTTGAGAGTAATGGATTATCTTATTTGAAGGAATGACTATTGATCTGCACTGTCCAATATCATAGCCATTAGCCACCAACATGTGGCTACTGAAAACTTGAAATATGGCTAGTCTGAAAAGGGATGTGCTTAATACATATTAGATTCTAAAAACTTAATAGGAAAAAGTAAAACACCTTATTAATTTTTTAATATTGATTCCACATGGAAATGACAATATTTTAGCAATTTTGGGTTAAATAAAATATATTAAGATAATATCACGTTTCTTTTATGTTTTTAAAAACGTGGCTACTAGAAAATTTACAATGACAGCTGCAGCCCCTGTGATACCCCTGACTTGTGTAAGAAGGAGTGGTCAAAGCAGCCCATGGAACAGACTCTGCCTGTATTTTTTTCTTAGAATTTATGCATTATGGAGATAGAACTATTTACTCCTAAGGGTTCCTTGTTTTGTTTAGTGAATTGGTTTTAAGAAAACTACTTTCCAAGTAAGCAGGCTGTCTTCTTTGCAAAGCAAACCATTGCTAGTCGCTGGGATTTCCTGCCCCAGTGTGAGTGCTTCTTTTCTGTATGTCCTAGAGCCTCTCCTATCACATGGAAATCAATTTCATCTGAAATGTTGGAAAAGCGATCTGGAACTGGAAAATGTCTTGAGGTCTGCCCTCGGCAGAGAATGAACTGGGAGGAAGGGCGGGTTATGTAAAAGGGGGTCCTATGTAAAGTGGCTTCCAGTCACAGACTGTAAGGGTAGCCCCCAAGAATGCCACCACAGCAAGGGTCTGGTCTTTGCATTATAAACCTTATTTTCAGGGTAATTACAAGTCTTAAAAATTGTTTAAAAACATATTTAGTTTACATGATGTTACAGTGGGGTAAATAATATGTATTATTAAAATAGTCTAAATAAATATTTACACAATAGACCAGAGTGGGTCAAAGAGAACCATTCTGATTTAACATGTTAACTCTGTTTACTTTGATTTTTTTTAATTTTTAAAAATATTTCTGTAAGAAAAAAATAAAGAAATCCAACTATATTCAAATACATGAAGTATCAGACCAAAGAGAGGAAACTGAGCCAGGGGCCAGACTCAGTCCCAAGCTCAGCTGGCTTGGTCTGGGCACCACAGTTACTTCAGAGCTTCTTGCAAACACCAGGCTTCCCCTATTTCAGCATAAGCCTATCTATTTTGGCAAATCAAATTGGCCAATTTTGAGACGTACGGTTATGTGGCCTCACGGTTTCATGTGGTGTTGATCTTGCTGCCTTCCCAATCTATCATTCTTGTCCTCAAAACCCTGGCCTTCATGAACTGGAAGAACAGAGGACACTCTTCGGTCTTCACAAAAAGAGAAGCTATATGTATAAACTGTAGACACAGTTTACACTGGGCCTGGAAAAAGAGGAAATTCTAAATTCTTATGTAGTCACTCTTAATTTGAAAGACAGTTTCAACACTGGGGGCCAGAGTGTGTTATTGCGGTTCCTTAGAATAGGGTGGGAACTAATAAATCTGAGCTTTTTTGTCACATTGATTTTTAAACTGAGAGTTTTCAGCTTGTAGAAACAGGCTGAATTCTTAAAAGCTTAAGCTGATTCTGGGGATGCAAGCTTTTAAAACAATCACAGGCAGCTTTAGTTTATAAAATACACCAGCGAATAGAGACACAGTACAATGTGCAGCGAAACCTGCCAACGATGTGCACTTCTTAGTTACCTATTCAATTACACTGCATTAAAAGAATATTTGAAATTCTCTCAAAGTAGGAATGTTTCTACTTTGGTTGTTATAACTATACAAGCCAATTCTTCATTTTTTAAGCTGAATTATATGTATTCTTATTTACATGTTTAAAACAGTGGTCAAAATCTTTTCTAGTCAGGAATTATATATATAAAGTAATTTTCATATTCAGTGGGTTATCCAATTTGCTTCAGAGCCGAATGGAAGAAAGATGAGCAGTTCCGCATTAATGACACCCACAGAGGGTCTAGCTACCGCAAAAAGCAAAATACAGTGCAGAGCAGGGGACTGTGTAACTCAGGCTACCCCTTCATGAGAATTCATTAAACTCCCTTACAAAATTCTAAAATGGCATTAGGTAAAAGTACAAGTATATACAACAGATGATGAAAAATATGCAACATGCATGTAATTGCTTTAGTAACGTGCTGCTCACGCTATGTCAAAGCTCATGACTGTTAACATTTTTTTTTCATTTGCCACCATGGAATTCCCCTTTTCTGTGTGCCATGTGATCCCAGAATCCCACAGGATGAGATGAAGGACACAAAATGTAGCCATCTCAGCTTATCTCACATCATTTGAAAGCTTGCTCTTAAGTCACTGGTCTTGGGTCCTTGCGGCTTTTTGGGATGGCCCCCTGCAATCTCCACAAGGCTGATTACATGTTATAAGCCACATAGATGGGGTCTAACTGGTCAGCTAGGAAGCTGTCGCGGAGGTGCATCCTTTGCTTCTCTCCCCTGGAGTTGATGGGGATAACGCCTGGGTCCACCACAACCACGACGCCCACGATGAGGTAATGCTCCTCCAGAACCACATTTGTCACTAGAGGAACCAGATCGAGGGCTTCCTGTTCAGAGCCACACAGTTCCACAACCACCACAAGCAAGTTGGTCCATGTGAACACAGCACTGAAATTTCAAAGACATTCAGTTAACACGTCATTACACATCAGTCATCTATGACGGTATCTACCCAAGACCTATCCCCATTTCCGAGAACTGTCTTCTCTCTTAGTAGACACGTCTGTAATACATAACCTTGTCCCTACGATTACAGCTGATTAGCTGAGCCATCCAAAATCTCTTGGGAGTTTGGAAGTAGGATTGAAAGTTGTTAGCCTGTCACCTTGGCTGAGGACCTGTGGACTTGAAAGTTTCGGGGTAGCCAGACGTGTAGGGAATCACAGAGACTGGCTCTTCAGTAAGAGGAGAAAGAATGACGTGGGTGCCCACGTGGCTCTTACAAGAAAGAGGACAGTGGTCCCTGATGCCTTGTTTCCACCTTTCTTGAGAACCACAGTTAGGGACTTAGAAACTTCTGGGATAGCCAAGTATTCTTTTCATTAACTTTGTCTTTTGCTTACAATTTTTTGAAAAGAGTTTCTGTTACTTGCAACATAAGAACTTTGACTAATATTCTTATCCCCACGCAACAGGAAGGAAGTCGGCCTGGCCTCATCTGAGCTTAGTGTCCCACCCAAGTGTCTCTCCTATTATGCCATAAAAGTGCCATAAAGTAGTTAAGTCACCTTACAGTGAGTAGAACTGCTGGGTTAGGGGTTTGACCTGACCGCTGCTTTGCTTTAATAAGCACGGTACAATCATGAAAGAAAAATGTATACAATATTTGGCTGCACTCAAAGCTGAATGTCTAGAATTCAGGAGTAACCTGGCACACAGCTTCTCAGCCTCGTTCTTATGCCCTGGGGGCTCTGCTCAGGTCTGGGGAGAGACTCCAACCAAGGGAAGAACATTTTTAGGCAAAGAACCACCTGGAAAGCATGAACCACCACGAAAAGAACTATGGTTTTTTAGTAGAGGGAGAAACAAGAAATGAGTGAGAACACATTGACAAATATGTAGAAAGGAAATTGAACAGATTCGGTACTGTCGAGGATCCAGAATAAAAGCCAACATGAAAAACTCAGATTTTAATTTTAAAGAGTTTTAAGTCAATGTGAGGTTGGAGGATCCTTTATCAGGGATACTGTAGGGGAATTTCTTGCACTGAGGGGAAATTAGATCAGATAAAAGTAATAATCCTTTCCATCTGCTTACCATTTAACAGTTTATAAGCACGTTCTCACTGGACCCTCCCACAATCAGGAGGAAGTGACAGAGAAAGCCTTTTACCGGAGGAGGGAAGCAATGTAAATGGGAGAGCTAGGCCCTTAAGCTGGGTCTTTTGACCTTAAAGGCATGGTCTTTCCACCATTCTACACCGACTTTCTAAAGGCAGTTGTCAGATGGATCCTTTCCAACAGAAAGAGTCTATCCTTAAAGAGGATGCAGCCCTCTCCGCAATGGTTTCTTAGAGCCTGTCTCAGGGTCTCCACGGCCTCGGCCTCGTCTGCCGCAGCAGATGGTGCACCAAGAAGGAATCAGTCTGTTTGTTCTCTTAGTCCCCCTGGAGTTCTACGCCTATAGGCGGTATTTGGTGTAGACTGCTGATTACCTAGATCAGTTTTACTAGATGCTACAGCTGAGGTGGGAAGCCTGTTCTGTGGGGGGAATTTACCATTCAGCAATGCTCCTGTGGATCCGAGACACTGAGGTCTCAATGTCAATTGGATGGTATCGTAATCCTCTCAGCTCCAGTGTTTCATCCAGAGCTCCCACCACATATAACGCATCATGACGTTCTGACGTAAAGAGAGAGAAATTTGGTTCATCAGACACATTCTGAGGTCAGTACAATGGGGGGATCAAGAGTGCAGGGTTCAGACTGCCTGCCATGTCACCTGGCTCCGTCACTCACTAGTCCTGTAACTCTGGGCAAATCACTTGTCTCTGAGTCCTGCTTCCCTTTCTGTGAGACAAGATAAAAACAAAAGGCTGCTAGAAGGACTGAGATAATCTATGTAATGTTATTTATATGATGATGCCTGGTATCTTGTGAGTGCTAAAAAATTAGCTATTATTACTACTATTATTACTACTACTACTTCTACTACTACTACTACCACAGATACTACTACTACTACTACCACCATGTACCAGGAATCGTGCGAAGTGCTGGGGGACCAAGACGCCCAAACACAACTCCTGCTCTGCACAGCTCCTGCTACTGGAGGAAACACACGCGAACGGCGTTCCATTATCGTGCGGTCAGCCCAGAAACAGGAGTATGCACGAGGCATTAGGGGGCAGGAAATACCCCTCAGACTGTGCTCAAAGGTTAATGGGAGGCCTAGAAAAGCTGAAGCCAGGCTGAGCTGTCACGAGTAAGCAGGAATTGCCCCAATGATGTCTGGGAAAGAGGGGAAGAGTGAGGATGTGAGAGACAAAAATGAACATGTGTCATCGTGTCTAGGCCCCTTCAAGGGATCCCGATATAAGAAGCAGAATTAGGGAATGTGGAAGAGACTAGTGCTGGTTAGCAACGTGGCCGCAGTCTGGCTAGGGCATGGCAGAAATTTCCTTCTTTTCTAAGATTTTATTTTATTTTTATTTTTTTCTAAGATTTTATGCACACACTGTATGTACAGGGCTATGTGCTTTATGCCTATACAAATACTGCATTTTTAAGAAGAGAGATTATTTTGCTACATCTGCTGAGTGCAATATTCCCAGGGAAAGGCAGATTTCTGAAAAATTCAGAAAAACAAATACCAGGAACTGTTGGAGAGAGAAAGATGAGGAGGTCCAGCAGAGTCCCCCTCAACAAGAAAAGCTAGATCATAAAGACTGTTATAGCAAAACGAAAACAGAAACACAGTAGTTAATGACCATGCTTTTTGTTTGCTAGGTGCTGTTACTGGCACCTCAATGCATCACGTAATTCAATCGCAGTCATTTCCGCAAAGCAGGAAACACTGCAACTCCCGTTTTCCAGGTAGGAAGCCAAAGGTCAGTGATAGCTCAAGGTCACACAGCACAATGGCAGGGGTAGGCTCTCGCCTCTCTTCTCAAAGGAAGATCTGAACAAAAACTTTCATGTTCCTGGCTCCCCATGAAATAAGGAGAAACTAGGGATGTTGGTTGGTATGGAACAGATGCAAGAAGCTAAGGAGAAATGTCGTGGCCCAATTCAGGCCTTTAAAAGTCCAGTGAAGTATCTGTATCAATTCTTGAAGTGCCTGATACAATTAGAATTGGATGTTTTAAAACCACTATTCATGCCACCAGGAAGGCAGGCCGAAGGCAAACAGCAGTGAAGCCCTGACAGTGAACTGGGCGGGGGATGACCGGGGGACTGATTACACTGGGGCCTTGCGAAGAAGTCTTCACTCCGACACGAGATGCTGAGGAACAGAGGAGCAGCAGGGGGCTCCTCTGCACTGACTCCCTGCTGGGGACCGGGATGTTCCTCCTGCTCCCACAATGGTATGCAGGAACAGCACGAACTAAAAGATGAACTCTCTGTCCCAGGGGCTTGTTCTGGGGCTAGAGTCACCCCTCAGGCACACCTCTGTGACTGAGGCCATGCTGGCCCACACTTCAGGGGTGCCAACTTGGTGCCCTGGGTGCTTACCTCCTAGGTACTTTTTGGGGGCAAAGTCTGACTTCAAATAAATATGAATTCACAAATCGGTTCAAGAGTTGTAGGAGGGAATAATTAAATACACACACTCCACAATCCAAAAGCAGGCTGAGGAAGGCCAGCCAGCGCCCCCTGCTGAAATGCCAAGCAGGAGCAGGAGCTGGTGTGGGACATACCTCCAGTGGCCGCCGTGAGCTCGGTCCGGCGGACGAAACCCAGGTATCCTGTCCGAGCCCAGAGCGTCTGAGCGGCATCCCCAAAGCTGAGGCGAGTGTTGAAATGATCAGCTTGAAGAGTCTCACTGTCATAGATGGTGTAATAGCCACTGGCCGTATGAGGACTGTTGACCCAAATCTACAACAAGAAAAGGTCACATTTCATCAGGAATATGCGCTGTGTATCAATTTGATTCTCTTGGGACACATGATTTTAATTTTTTAAACTCATTTTTATAGCAACAGCCACAACACAACTGTAACAATAAAGGCAGCTGACATTTCTAGTGTTCACCAGCTGCTGACCAGTGCAATACATACTTTATTCACATGCTTTATCTCACTCATTCCTGACGTACACAACATGACAATAGAGTTTGCACTATTGTTATTCCCATCTTACACATGAAAGAACAAAGACTGACTCGCCCAAAATGCAGAGACTTGGAGACTCACACCCAAGCCTGTGTGGCACAGGCCATGCGCTCAATCACCTGCCACACGGCTGCCCAGGCCCCCCTCTCAGCCTCTCCCAGAGTCCAAGGGATCATTTCTGTGCTTCTGAAACTAAGGGATAAGGCCCTCAAGGAAAAGCTACAGGGTGTTTGAATTTGCCATGTGAACAATGCAATAACTAACAACGGTCAACAACACTAGTATTTATTGAGAACGTGTTATATTAACAGGCACCATTCTATGAGGGGGGGACACAACCCCCCTCCCCCGAATTATCATCTGGATGGCAGGCCCCTTGTAGGACAGGCTTCCCCTATGGAGTGAATGTTCTAGGAACCCACCTGCGTCAGTGTACCAGCTGGTATTGTTGTGAGAGGCTGCATCTGGCTTCAGTGTTTTTTTTTAATTGAAGACTCTTTCAAACGTGTTTGCCCATTTCATGACAGGTGATTTACAAGCGTGCCTGCCTACACTGTGCTGAGTGTTTAGCAGTTTTTGACCAAAAACAGCATGACCCTCACACCCTATCCTCCCTATTCACATGATCTTGCCCCAAGTGACATTTTTTTTTCCTGGATGAAAAAAGTCCTCAAAGGGAAATGTTTTGCCAATGTGGAAGAAGGAAAACAAGAAAACAGCAGACGCACTAAAATGCATCAAAATCGGAGTTCAGAACTGTTCTGGGCAGTGGAAAAACGCCTCGATGGGTGAACTGCATCAAATGGAGAGCACTTTGAAGGAGACTGAGGTTTAAACATGTAAGAATACACAATTCTTTACAAATAAATTCCAGTTTGGGGGAGTGTCCCCCCTCATATGTGCATTACAGATACAAGTATTAATGCATTTTGTTGTCATGCAATTCTACTAGGTAAGCACAATGATTGTTTATGGTTAAGGAAACCGAGGCCCAGGGAGGGTAAGTAACTTGTCCAATATTGAGAAGCGGGCATGTGGTGGAGCCCAGGTCACTTGGCTCATAACTATGACACCCCTCCCAGTGAGCTATGGGATGAAACATCAGTGTCCCTCAAAGATTTTGGGGGAGAAAAATTAAAACTGTAAAACCATTTTAATACTAATATAAATATATTTATAAATACTAATATAAATATATTAATACAAAAAGTAAGTGCATTTTGGAATAGAATATAAAATTTGCGTGAATTTTAGAAATTTAGTATTTGTGGCTCCTTAAATGGGGGGGAGAGGCAGGGTTTGCACAATTTCCTTTTTAGTTGGGGGGATGGCAGGGGACAAATCTGGGACTAGTTCTAGTCTGGGTGCCCCAATCTCCTCTCCATCCTGGTGTCAATCTTCCCCTTCTGTTCACTGCAGTCTTGTGCTTTACAGAGAAAAACTAAAACTCTTTTAAGAGATGAAAACTCACAGTGGGCAAGAAGCTAAACCTACATTTGCTCTGACTTCCGGATTATGAACCCTGAAGTTTTTCACTGCTGACTTTTCACAGGAAGGTGAAAATTATACATACCTCTCCAAGGTGAGAGTCTCCAACAGGCCCTTTGGTTTCAGGATTTACAATAACCACCTTTACGCCAGGTAAAATCTAAGAATCAAAGGGAGAACATGAAGACTCAGTTGGCCCTTAGGCAATACAGCCACCCACCCTCCCCGCTCTGGCGAGGCGAGGGAGAGCACAGAGGCGGGAGCCAACGGAGGCAGTGCTCACAGGACCGTGCTCAGTGGGGACCAGAGGTACGTTAATATTCATCCTCAAAAATAAACCAGAGAACCAACTGCTCTGCCTTCGTTCAAAGGGATGAGAAACTGCACTCCAGAACGATTAACAGCTAAGAATCCGTAGACTACTTTAACCATGTAACTGCCCTTTCTTATTCACTGGATTGATGGCATTACAACCCCTTGAAGCAGAAAGGGCAGCAGGAAGGAACTGCCTGAGAGATGCCGCCCCAGCCTACAGTGAGAGCCAGAGTTAGGAGAACCTGGAGAGCAAGAGGGGAAGGTGGCGATTCTAGAGGAGAGTAGAAAAGACACCCAAGTGCCCAGGATTGCCCTCAGGAGGGAAAAGGAAGAAACAGGTGCTGGCTGAGAATGGCTCAGGGCCTGTCTGGTTACATGTATTCTGTCTCTTAAACCTCCCTTTTGATCTTGCGGTTCCAGAGGATGCTGTTACTTGAGGAACCCTACAATGACTACTTTGACTCATGCATCTGAAACCTCAAGGAAGGAAGACAAAAAGACCACTCCCTTTAGTCAGGGCCAGGCACTGAGATTTCGCTCCTGAGGCCCTAGCTGCTGGCTGAGGCAGAAGAAGATCTGACACAGTAAGATTCACCCAGGCCCACCTGGAGGAGTTTAAGCAGAAGAGTGAAACTGGGGTAAGCTCCCCATGGGGAGGATCCACCACTGGATATGTTAGCTCCCTTTTCTCTTCCCAATTTTCTCCTCTGCCTTTCCGAATTACTAGAAGGGATTCTGAGGCATCGCCACAATCTCTTCAAAGGGATAAGAAATCTGAAAGCTTATGCTAATGGTCCATCACCCTCAATAAATTGTTCAAAACTTAGAACTGACTGAATGTTCCCAGTTAGGACTGGGAGACCTGATCCCCAGTGTGATGGGTGGCGTTAGAAGGCGGGACTTTGAGAGATGACTACATCAGGAGGGCAAGGCCTTCCTGAAAGTGATTAGTGCCCTTATAAAAGAGGCCCAGAAATTTCCCTCGCTTCTTTCACCATGTGAGGATATAGCAACAAGATGGCCATCAATGAACCCAAAATCCCTTGCCAGAACCTAATTTACTGGTGCCTTGATCTTGGACTTCCCAGCCTCCACAACTGTGAGAAATGTTTCTGTTGTTAATAAGCCACCCAGTCTCTGAGGTTCCATTGCAGCAGCCCACATAAACGAGGACAATAATTAAATCTCTCTTTGAACATTTTAAAGCCCCATTCTAATCAAAGAAATCTTATCCCCACAGATAATTGCTCTCCAGTATTTTTAATCTCTTCCCCATTTTGGTTTCTTTTTGAACTATGACTATGTATATGTCTTCCTTGACCTTAAACCACATCCCTCCCCACCTGCCACCCTATTTTTCTCCTTGTAACATTTAGAAAGATAGAACTGGCTTTTTTTTAAGTGCTGCTCATCTCTCCACCTTGAATATAATGAACATTAAATCTTCCTAGTTTGCCAAATAAGAGTAACATGTCACTCATGTTAAAAAAATCTATGGAATTAAGAAAGTTCAAATTGAGTATTCTTATCTCTGTACTCATATGAATTTAAAAACATTGGTTCAGATGAAATGTTGAATTATCTCCAGGTTTCAATTAAGTCTTGCCCTGGGTACTAATATATGACTTCAGGTTTCTTTAAAATGAACTTCTCCATATAGACAATTTTCCCAATGGTTCAAAACAAATTACCTTTCCAGATTCTGAGAGGAGCAAACTCTGGGGGGCACCCCGTTCCACAAGACGAACCCTGCAGAAAAACAATATTTACTATATACAAGCCTTTTAAAAAATGACTGGACCGTGTTGACTACAGATAAATACTGCCTTCCCAAGACCCCTAATTCGTCTCTCCTATTCATGCTAGAGTAAGCTGCTCAAAGTTGGCATTACTGACATTTTGGGCCAGGTCATGTTCTGTCATAATTTTTTTGTGAGGGGCTATCCTGTGCACTGGAGGATGCTGAGCAACACCCCAGGCCTCTGCCCACTAGATGTCAGTAGCAACCTGCTTGTTGTGACAACCGAACTGTCCCCAGACACTGCCAAATGCCCTTGGGAGGCAGAGGTCACCGATTCAGGAGATGCGCTACTTGTGAGGGCTGGGCCAGTGCCAGGGGCACACCAGCGAACACAGCTGAGGCCAGGTGGCCTGGGAAAGGATCACAGAGCCCCGGGGCCAGGTGCTCACCTTGGGACACAACTAAAATTCCCTTGTAAGCTGATGAGGAAGGTTTTTCCTCCTGGGTTTAGATAAAGTGCTATTTCAAAAACCCTACTCCAATTCATTTATCTTGTTTGTCCTGTCTTTTATTTTTAAACTTTCAGAGGAGTCTATCCAATTTTTTAAAAGACTTTATTTATTTTTAGAGAGAGGGGAAGGGAGGGAGAAAAAGAGGGAGAGAAACATCGATAATCGGTTGCCTCTCACACATCCCCAAATGGGCCCCTGGCCTGCAACCCAGGCATGTGCCCTGACTGGGAATCAAACCAGAGACCTCTCAGTTCACAGCCAGGGCAAGGCTAAGAACTCTTTTATGTTTTGGAACTCTAACAGGGAATGAGCAAAATAAATTTACTGTACCTGTCATGTCTTAATGATTTCAGATCTACATACACAGTAGTTGGATCAGGCCCTGAGGTTCCCTAAACAAAAATAAATCAACACATTGTTTATTTGAAATTTAAATGACTGTATTTCCATATTTCATATTTTCAAATCAAGAAGTAGATCACTTAGCCATGTACATGAAAAGTCCAAACTATACTGTGAAAGCTCACCCTGTCTTCAACCGGATGAGGCAGGGTACAGTCAACACCTAAAAGAGACTCGTGGCCTTGCTTCATTCTCACGTTTCTTTCTTTTCCTCCCTTGGGAGGCTGGGCCAGGGACCTCCTCACAGAGGCTAGTGAAGCACTACAAGTTTACCTGGCTGAGGAGGGTCCTCCTCCCTGACGCAAAGCAAGGACAAGAAAGGTCAGCATCCATGGGGTTTTCAAAATTAATACTGGCCCAAGCTGACAACAAGGGGCCCACAACTGGGGTCCAAGGTTGAAGCATCACGATGCTATTTAAAAGTCACTTGACTGTGGTCACAGAAGACCTGAAAGGACCCACCCACACATGCCACCTTCATTAACTCTCACTCCTGTCCCTATACTTTCCTTATCAGTCTCCAAGCTCCATAAAAATCTCAGACTCAGTTCTGTTATTTACACACCAGGAACAATATGGCAGAGTTGCCATGTGGCTGGAGAAAAGAATATGGGTTTATTTGTGCTTCCTTTGCAAAGAAGCAATAAAATGTGAGGACACAGGAAAGCAGAAGGTGAGATACAAATAAAATTCAAATAAAACAAAGAAATCTCCATTGGTCGTTGTTATGGACCATAAAACTACTACTAAGAGGAAACATTTACAAGGGTGCCGAATGCCAGAAAAAGCTCCAAGTGTGTAGCACGTAGTGAGTCAGTGACTCTACAGAACCGCTGTGGGTAAGACAATACTATTATCTTCATCTTAGAGAGGAGCAAAATCAGGGGAAGTCCAGATAAAAAGTACACATTCCCATAGCAAGCGAGTGGAACTGGGGCTCATGCCGGACAGTGTGTCTCCGAGGCCTCTGATCCAGGGCACCACACATTCCCCTTGAAGTTGTTCCCAAGCACAAGTTTCACGATAGTCACCTGTAAACATATTGCTACATTGACTCTTGATCCAAAAGTAGTGCTGACGGCCCGAGGAGACAGACCGATGTCTTTGAAGAGTTTGGAAAAGGACTGTTGGAGGGCGATTCGGGGCCGCTCCTCGGCCACCACCACACACGTCCGGATGCAGGAGAGGTTGATCCCTCTGGTCTGTAAGACACGGTGTGTGTGAGCTGAAGTTAGCAGGGTCATAAAATAACTGAACAGGCAGAGCCACTGCTCTATTTCTTTGGTCAGGAAAAGCCAAGGACTGTGTATTCTCACCCCAGACACCCAGAAAAGACACGAGTTTTCCGAAAGTCCCAAGGCATTCCACTAAGGTCATTCCCATTCCCTAAGGTAAATGTGCTCTTTCTCTATTTCTTTTCTCTTTTATCTAAAAACTTAGGTTCCTCAGCAATCCATTTTTATCCCTCCCCATTTCTGTACCTTGTATTTCTCCCTACTTCAAATTGGAGAGATGGGACTAAGAGGAAAAGAACTCTAGCACCCCGGATATCAGATCTCTCAACTCCTCCTTCCCTTCTTAAGGCCACATTTCTCTGTTAAAGAAAGCTCAGTGTTTCCTGACCCTCCATATGCCAGTCAGACACGTGGTCACTGGAGACACATGCATGAGCTGCCCCTTTGTATCTGGGTGGTCCCCAAGCTCTAACATGCTGAGGTTGCAAACTCCACTGGGAAAAATCCTGCTGGAGGTAACAGTTCCTCTTCATCTTTATAGAAAGTCATTCCCATTCAGCCTCCCAACCACTTTCACCTTCTTCTCCACAAATGAAGACTCAGATTAAACTCTGAAAGAGTGCAGTAAATTAGAAAGTAGAAGAGAGAAACTTCCTGAGGTTTACAAAACACCTGTTTGACTGCCTAGAAGAAGCCAAGCAGACACGTCTGTCAACCCCTCCTTAGGATCATACCCGGCCCATTTCTTTAAACTTCCCAGGACTGGCTACTTGTTGCAGTGGCTTCTCACCTTTAGCACCTCCACTTGGTTTCCAAGCCCTTTGGTGCAGAGTTCCATTACCGAATAGGAGCAGAATGTATCCCTTATTTTGTACTGGTTAACAGTGGAAAGCCAGAGGAAAAGGTTGTTTTCTAACTCCATAGGAGGAATTAAGATGGACTGGTGACCTGAATAGACACTGCAATGAAAAAAGACAAGAGCTGACAATGTCAAACCCTGCTAAGTATCTTGATGTTTTAGAACACCATCAACTCAACAAATATTTACTGAGCATGAAGGGCAGCATAGGGTCACATTCGATATAAAGGTCTAAGAATCCTCCTTGTTCGCATGCAACTCACAAGACACAACAACTATAAAATAAAGCAGGCTGTGGTATGTACAGTAACTGAGATGGGAATAAAGGACATCAAGATCACAGAATAAACAGCAAGTCATTCAAACTGGGAAAGGTCGGGTTGGGGGTGTTTTGATGTATAGGTGACACCTGAGCTGTAGCCTGAAGACCGAGCAGGATTTTGCCAGGGGCTGGAGGAAGGGAGGATGGTGATGAGAGTATTCCAGGCAGAGGAACAGAGGTATAAAATGCAGAGGTATAAAATTCCATGCTGTGTTTAAGGCTGACAGAAATAGCACCCCAGTGTGAAACATTAGAGCACAGGATGCATGGGGGAGTGGAGAGAGGTGAGGCCAGAAGGGCTGTGGTCAGACTATGAAAGGGCTTAACTGTCATACGAAAGATTTAGACTTCACCCAGCAGGCAGTCACTGCAGCTTTAGTTGGGACAAAACTAGACATATGGAGGAGGGACTGGAGACATGAGACACTGAAGGCTGAGAGACACTTAGGAGAAAGTGTAATAGTCCAGGTGAGAGACGATGAGGGCTGGAGTCCAGTGCAGCCGGCATAAAAAGGAAGGCATGGTCCTGGCTGGTGTGGCTCAGTGGACTGAGTGTGGGCCACAAACCAAAGGGTCAAGGGTTTGACTCCCAGTCAGGGTACATGCCTGGGATAAGGGCTAGGTCCCCAGTAGCAGGGTGTGTGAGAGGCAACCGTACACTGATATTTCTCCCCCTTTCGTTCTCCCTCCCTTCCCCCTCTGTCTAAAAATAAAATAAAATAAAATCTTTTTTAAAAAAAGGAAGGAACAGCAGAGTCGCATTTCATATATATAGCCTACAGCCATGAATACTCAATTTCCTAAACCTGAGTACAGATCAGAATCCCCAGGAGACTAAGAATCCTGTATTTAAAAAATACTGGCCATTCTCAAGGGTATAGAGACATAAACCTAAGATATTACCAAACCTTGTTATTTGTTAATTAAACCCACTTCAGAGGAATACCCTGAGTGTATAATTAATTAAATTTTAACTTATGTTGATTAAAGAAATTAAAAATAATTAAAAATAATGGAACTGTGGTCTCCACCTTTGGAGATCTAAGTTAGTAAGTCTGGGAAAGGCCCGTCATGATTTTTAGACCCCTCGGTGATTCCTATATTGACAGATTTAGGAACAGCTGAGCCAAATGAGGTGACATTTGGCTGGATGTGAGACATAAAGATACAGAGGTTGATGGTGACGCCCAAGTTCCTCATCTGGGCCCCAAAGTGAATGAGCCCATCCTAACAAAGATGGGGACACTGAAGGGGATGGTGAGTTGCACACGTCTGTGAAGGATTCATGAAGACATCCATGCAGGAGGTGAATATGCAGGTCGGAGACAAGGTTCTCTGGGTGGATAGTGGAAGGACTGGGAATATGCTTGCTATTCCACAAGAAATAATCTGGCCGGGGTGACGTGCTGCTTCCCAGCAACATGCTGTCATCCTGTTATCTTCCTTCCTGTCAAGACTAGGGGGTGCGTTCTGGCTGTCAAAGCATGACATATCTTACCCACGTATTATCTCTACTTGGCTCTACTACTAAAATGAGGATTACAGGATGGAGCTGAGGAGCAGGTAATAAGATCACTGCTCTCTTGCATGAGGCAAAAAACTAGAGAAAAGAAAAAAAAAGGGAATACAAATACAACTAAACCAGCATCAGAGGTACATTCTCTGCACCTAATGTAGAATCAGCATTTTACTGATTAAAAAAATAAAATAAAAAAATCAACATTTTATTGATTTTTAACTCCCAAATTAAAGGAGTGAAGGGAAGGATGAGCTGGTTGGAGCTCCCACAGACATCCCCACCTTTGCTTTTCCATTCTTACCTGCAGAGACACCAGAGTGCAAAGCCAAGTCCACAGTAGGGGTCAAGGCAGATGGCGATCTGCCGAGAAGAATACAACTCACACTGGAGTTTGATGGCTCTGCAGAGAGCACTGACTGCAGAGTGGGACATCTGGAAAGTAAGGAACACGGAACAGGGTGAAACAGCATCCTGCAGGCGGAAAAACAGCTCCAACGACAGTTTTGAGAAGCTTCAAGTGCCTCAAACTCTTCAAAATGATGTATAATTTTCATTGGTTCAAAAAGCTTAATCTAAGTCTAACTTAAGGTAAAAAATTTCTGTTCATTAGTCAATACTGAGTTTTATAAAATATGAATCTGTCATTCCATACTCTCTGTAACTCTTATTATCTGTTAGCTTCCATGCTAGGTTCAGAACACGGCATAACACAAATTCCTTGGGATAACTTATTCCGGAAGAGCCGATGCTTTTATTTAAATATAGCAGGGACCCTTGATCCTCTGCCTGCTGGTCTCTGGTACAACCAGCTGGCCTCTACATCTTAAGTCCCTGGGGCAGTGGTCATCTCTATTTTTTGCAGGCCTGGCATTTTACCAGCATCCAGTGAGTGAGTAAAAACACCCAGACTGCTCTACCTTCACTCCTGTAAGCATGCCTGTTGTAGAGACACTAAAATCAAGATACGCCAACATCTCAGGAGTGGGTGGTTTATACAGCTGTGGCAACCTTTTCCTGGGTAAATCATCTGCAAGGAAGAGAAAATTCTATGTCAATCAGATATGCTGGAACATGAAAATCATTGCTCTTTAACTGGTTTTCTGTGGCCTTGCTAGGGTTGAATTTAGCTTCTGGGATTTGCTAAAGCTTAGGCTTCTCATATTCAACCCAGCGGCTTACATATGTCACTCTAAGACATGGGCTGGAGTTGAGGACACCGCTAGACAATATGAACAAGTCTACACTAGACATACGTATTTACCAGGTTAATGAAAGGTGTCATAATATAGTAGTTGAAAAATAAGGAAGTAGACTGATGTTCAAATCCCACCTCTGCCATTTTTCGGTGATGCGACGTTGAAATTATTTAACCTCTTTGTGTGTTTCCTTATCTCTAAAGATGGTAATAATAACCTTCCCTCACAGAATTGTTGGGAAGTTAATTCACACAGAGCAATCTGAAAATGAATAACTAAATGCTCAAAAAGCTTATTATTATCATGCTGGTTTCAAGTTAAAATTCATTAGTTACAGTTTGGAACATGTTATATTAACCTTGGACTGCTTTAAAACGTGTTTTCCTTTAGCAGGTTTTTTAAAAAAGATTTATTTATTTTTAGAGAGAGGAGAAGGGAGGGAGAAAGAAAGGGAGAGAAACATCAGTGTGTGGTTGACTCTCATGTGGCCCCCCACTGGGGACCTTGCCTGCAATCTCCGAATTCGCCCCGACTGGGAATCGAACCAGCAACCCTTTGCAGGCTGGCACTTAGTCCTCTCAGCCACACCAGCTAGGGCCCCAGCAGATTTTTTTAAATGATAATTTTATTTACATACTTCCCACTTTCCCTCCAAATTTGTTTTATAAATATGTCAAAATCAAGGGCATCAAGGATATCTCTAGCCCCAACCATGACTTTTCAATGGTTCCTTTTGCTTTCTAGATCAGGAAACAATTCTGACTCTGATTTTTATACTTCTATATTATTGGGTGTACCCACCTCTGGTCAAACCAAAAGGCTTTCTTTTTCACCTTCAACCCAGCTTTGTATAGGGGAGGGTCATTCATGTGCCTAAAGAAACCTTCCCAGTGTCTGTATCACTGTCCATATTTCAGGTTTTCCTGAAATGTGAGTGAGTCCAATAACCAGAGTAGATCTATCTGCGTCATTAACACCAACTTGATCCATTTGTGCTACTTACTATAAATGACTGTGCTTATGTCTTTAAGTAACAAATGCAAAAAAAATCTAGTTTGGCAACTGGCACACAAAACCCACAAATACATATCCTTCCCTGCATTTAAGCCCATATTAAATGCCCGTGAGGTGAACCCTATGTGGTACTTACTGAAACCAAGTTAAGAAAGAAATTAATGGTTAAGAGGTTGGAATGGAGCCAAACTGGGTTTGAATGTCAGTGCTACCATTTAACTTTCCTGCACCTCAGTTTTCTTATCTGTAAAATGAGAATAAAATCTGCACCAATCTAATAGGGTTGGTGCAAAGATAAAATCAGGTAGCACATTTAGATGTCTGGCACATTGTAAAGGCTCAATTAAAGATATTATGATTATGTGTGAGATGCTTTATGTTATTTTAATATTTACAACACCATAAAGTAGTTATTACAACCCCTATTACAGACAGTTTTGCCCAAGTTAGCAGGCATATTCAGAGAAGAACAGAGTATTAGTATTTAAACCCTATCTGCCTGACTCCGTAACTCACACTCTCCCCTATACCATTTTCCAGGTAGCCCTAGGTCTTATTCCCTTCTTTAGTAGAAACACCATCTAAAATTCATGCAAGCTTTATGGTTTTCAAAGAACTTTATGATTCATATAACATTGTATTGGATATCTCAGTGTATATGTGAGTCAGGTGAGGGTAGGTAGTGTTTTAGAAAGGGCTCATCTCAGACGAGGTTAAGTACTAAAGCTCAAACTAGAGCCAGGTATTCTGATTCCTGGTCTAGTGCCATTTCTACTGTATCACATCTAGATATAGACTATCAGGTCTTCTCAGTATTTTACATGGCCCTACATGTACATGGTCATATACAGTGTAAAAATCTAACCATTATTTCATGATGCCAAGAGTAACAGCAAGACCCTTTTTGTTTCTAGAGTCCTTCGCATATTGTGATCTACTTCTTTGGAACTGGCTGCTGCAGAATCTGGCCTTTTGGTAATGCAAGCTGACTGGGTATTAAGTTTTGCCTCTGTCTTGGCAGAGGCAATACGTTGTGACATAAGAGCTACATAAACAATTTTGGCATAAGAATTTAGGAACTTTCAGGGAGTAAATGCTGCTGTTCCTTCAATTCTGGAGAATCTTCCCTTCACCTGTGTCAATGATGGTTGGCCAGGTTTTCACATCTACAGCTGCTGCAGCCTCTCGGGACTTCAGTAACCTCATTAGCATCTGCGTGGTGAGAATGCAGGCGGCTTTGCTGACCTAGAAACAAATGAACAGAAATGAGCACCAGGAGGATTAGCCCCCATGTAGCACCAGAGGCTGCTGCTAAAAGCAACTTGAACACCACACTGGACAGGGCAGTATTAGTTTTTCAAAGGACACACACAGACAATGGGGGTCAGTGGTTCCTCTTACATTTGTCTTTCTGGTAATGTGTAACACTTAATCGCCTTAGAATGATGGAACTGTTCATGACACAAGCTTTATTTACAACAGGGATTCTCAAATATCCCACAGCTTTAATCTCAGGATGGATCCTACAATCTTCTGCTTTCATGAAAACCAAAATAAAATAAAAACATGAATTTTGTAGTGCTCAGGAAATGAGAAAAGTCAGATGACCATCTCTGAAGGAACTAATGTTTGCACCAGTTTAGTGAATGGCTGGTAAAAGTAACCAGACCTAGACCATATCCTGAATGTTAGGAATTCTGCGCGTTCACAGAAACCAAGCTTTCCCACTCACCCACACACGGAAACGCAAACCGCCTGCCCTCCCCCAGAAACTCTGTCAGTGGAAGGAAACGTCCCTCCCTGCCGCTCTGGCCCACCTTGCCAGAGCGTGACAAGGGCATTTGGCTGAACTGAACTTTGTAATAAAATTGGCTGTGAAGAACATGGTTTTATGCTGTGAGCTCCAGTTGCTGACAAAGCAGCAGTTCTTAAAAGAAATAAATGTTACATAAATTGGAATTTTGTTAACTCTTTGCTTTAAAGGACATTAGGATAACAGATTTATTCACATGAAGAGATTTATTTTATTCTTCTCAATTCTCATGTCCTATACAAACTCTGTCACTTCCACAGCAAGATCTGGACACTTTTTAATACTGTACTGAATAGTACATATTCTGAATTTATAAAATTAACCAAAATAAAAGTGACTTGACAGTGGGGAGAATTCAGTTAGGCATGTAAAACCACCCTGGTTATTGTATAAAAAATATTAAAACTTATTTTTAAAAAGGGGGAAAAACAAGTTTTATGGAGAATTATTATGATAGCTTTAACTTTTTAATGGTCATAATAAATGCACACAATTCTGTATCTCAGTGATGACTACTTTCCAATATTCCTTCACTGAATCATGCTTGTCACTTTGGTCAGATTAAGGAAAATCAGGCAGTTTTCAGTGGACAGATTTGATTTTTGGACTCGACAGGACTGGAAAATTAGTAAGGATCCATGGTTGTCTGAATCTGGACGTTATGAAATGAGGACAAGGTATACATGGTACTTACATCAACAATCATACGGACGGTGGGCAATGTGGCAGTGAGGTTCTGAGCGTGAGGAGGTCGGACAGTCACAGGTATGCACCCCGCGTACAGGCAGCCGTAGAATGCAGCAATTAACTCAATGCCTGCAAGACAGAGCTGCTCAGCTGCCCAGCACTGCGAAACTAAAACGCAGGTCTTCCCAAACCAGTTTATTAAACCATGGGCCACATGGGTTATTTAGACTGTAATTTAACAGAGACACTAGCAGAAGAAAATTTTGAAATTAAAAGGAATAGAAGGAAAAGGAGGAAGCATATAAAACAACTTAAAAAAAAAAAAAAGAGAAGCCAAAAATCAGTAAGAAGAAAGGAAGTCAAAAGTGAAGAAAACTCTTGAAAGATACCTGAAGTAGGTATTTTTAAAGCATTTCTTGATGTCACTTGGGAGATTTAACTGAGGAAATCAGGGATGTTAAGTTTGGTAAATAAAAGAATGGGGAAAGGACAGATTAGGATACCCACGCTTTCCCTAAATATATAGCAGGCCACTATGCAGCGGTCAGGGGGGTGGGAATCTGAGAACCCCCCAGAATTTATTTATTAAAAACTGTGAATTCTTACACATTTAAACTTCAGTGTCCTTCAGAGCACTCTCCATTTGATGCACTACATCTATAAGGATTTTTTCCCCACTGCTCAATACAGTTTTAGAACTAGTTGTGATGCCTTTTAGTGCATATGCCATTTTTTGTTTCACCTCTTCCATACTGGCATAACTTTCTCTTTGAGGACTTTTTTCATCCAGGGAAACAAACAAAAAACAGTCACTTGGGGCAAGATCACTTGAATAGGGAGGGTGCAGTATGGGGGTCATGTTGGTTTTGGTCAAAAACTGCCAAACACTCAGCACAGTGTGGGCAGGTGTGCTTGTAAATCACCTGTCATGAAATGGGCAAATGTGTTAAATGAGCCTTCAAAAAAATTCACCAAAGCCAAATTCAAATGTAGCCTCTCACAATGACAGCCATTACAGTGATGCAGGTGGGTTCCTAGAACACTCGACTGGGAGGAAAGCCTGTTCTATACTAGGGGTCCCCCCTCATAGGTGAAGAGTGATTCCATTTCTTACACAAAGCTCCATCATTGGGTACAAGTTTTAGGGAGGCAAAGTGTGTCTCAACGTGAAGAAGATGACATAACTGGGACTTGGTGGGTGGCCCCCTCAGGAAGGAGTGTCCTGCTCCATCACCATGCCATGAACTGGCAGACAGAAGACAGTATCACAGGAATACCCTAGGAGAGACTCCTTCACCAGATGACCTTCTAAGAAAACTTAAAAAAAAAATCCTCATCTGAGGACATTATTTTTTTTCAATGCTTTTAAAGAGAGAGGAAAGGGCTGAGGGAGAGACAAAGAAAAACAGCAGTAGAGTGAGAGGGAGAAAGAGAAACATTGACTGGCTGCCTCCCACATACACTACAACTGGAATCAAACGCAACCTTTCGGTAGATGGGATGACACTCCAACCAACCAAGCCACACCAGCCAGGGCCTAAGAAATCTTAGGATCGATGTAAATAAAATAACATAGTAATCACAGAGCAAAGTGAAATAAGGAGCATGGAAGAGCAAAGAAGGCTGGATATCTGAGTGGGTTAGGTGGTAGAAGAATAAACACAGGAAGAACTCAAGTATTTCAACGAAAAGTTTTTGAATATTTATATCAAACTGTCATCAAATAGTTCTGAGTCCCTCTTACTATGAAGACAAGGTTGTTGAATTAAATTACAGCATGGAAGATGAATGAAGCAATAATTGAGGAATACTATACATCAATCATGATATGAAGAATTTTAAAGTCAAAAGAGCTCACGGACAACTTTCTTTTGGAAACTGGGTAAAATGGTCTCATTTCTGGACACTCCTAGAAACAAAGCATCTCAAAAGTTAGGAAGTCTTCATTTATTCGATATTTACCACAGGCACTATGCTTAGGTAATGGAGATACAAGAGTGAATACAAGAGACTGGGTCCCAGATGAGCCATCATGCTGCACAACTCCAGGGGTGAGGCTTGCTTCACACCTTAGCCTATGTGCAGGGTCCTTCTGGCACTGGGAGGTGCACAGCCTACATGGACATACATGGTGGCCCTGAGTTCCTGTTCTCTTACAGTGTGTAGTCTAGTAATGGAGCTTAAGTCCAGTCTATCAACTCAGCACTTACCAGGTGGATAGAGCAACACCACATTGTCGCCTGCGTTTAGATGTCCCTTGTCGCCAAGAACTGATGCAATCCTTTCTGCTCGCTTATGAAGCTGAAGGCAGCTTGCTGTGCACACTGTAGTGCCCTTTAAACAGCAGGAAGTAGAGCCCATTAAGAAAGTAAAGCAGAAACCACAGACAATTTGACATTATGCAATACCTAAAAGGCTTGTCCCTTAGTAGATTATTTTTAGCTAGTTACCAATTCCAGTGAAAATTCTCTTACTGCCAAAAGACCTTTGTGGTATTCCTTTTTTCAAAGGTATTTAGGGTATATCAACATTAAATTAAATCAAACATATGTACTAATAGTCTTTCTTATTTAAAATAGCTTTAAAAATACATAGGGACTTAAAATATATAAATGAGGAAATAAGAGTAAAGGGAGAATAAAAGAAATAACAGTAGGTTAAGGGCAGGAGTGAGGTCAGGACAAATAAATGCTGGTCATGTGGTCACATGGCTTTGCTGGGCATTAAGCACATATTTGGCTCTGACAGCAAAGATGGAAATAAAACAGTAATAATTACTGATAATCTGCTAATAATAAAGACTAGCAGATTAGAAAATGGCCGACTATTCCTGATCCTGAGAATAATTTCTCCTGTGGGTGTCCATAAATACCCTTATCATCAATTCAAATTTCACCAAGCTGTTTTTTTTTTTTTACTGATTTGAGAGAGGAAGGGGGAGGGAGGGTGGGATTGAGGGGGAGAGAGAGAGACAGAAAGACAGACATCGATTTGTTGGTCCACTCATTTATGCAATCATTGGTTTATTTTTGTATGTGCTCTTACTGGGGATTGAACCTGCAACCTTGGTGTATTGGGATGATGCTCAAAGCAACTGAGCAACCCAGCTAGGGCTGAGCTGGGCTTTTTTAACCCCCTTTCTCTTGTAAAAACATTTTAACAAATGGGAAAGTGCATAGAGTATAAATGTACAGCTTAATTTAAGAAACTGTAAAGCAAGCATCCATGTAAGAATAAGCATGACATGAAAAAAGACCACTGCCAACAACTCAAAAGCACCCCCACGAGCCACCCCAGGCCAGCCTTCTCTTCCCTCCACAGGAAACCACTGTCTTGCCTTTTTAGTGTTAACTGCTGTTCATAAATCGCTTGTGAAATTTTGAATTTTATATAAAGGGAATTGTACTGTTTATACTTTTGTGCTTTGCTTCTTTCTCTCAATATTATCTTAAGAGACTTCTAGGCTACAGTGCCTAGATGTAGTTCACTCATTTTTGTTGCTGTACACTTAGTTGTATGAACACACAACCAGTTTTTCATCCATTCTACTGTTGACAGACTTCATTCTCGCACAAAACTCTGGTGCATAAATATAAGAGGTTTGGCCAGCTGCGGACCTAGAAATGGAAATGCCGCGTCAGTGTTTGCGCCCATCTCCAACTGTAGTGCATATGCCAAACTGTTCTTTGTTGTGCCAATACCACGGCGTCTTAATCACTGTATTATCTAAAAAAATCTCATGATTAAAAATGTTTTACTGAATGGCTTTTAAAAATAAGTTTTTAATTTCAGTAATACAAAACAGAACATGTTCCATATAGAAAATTTAGAAAATATAAATATATAAGATGTAGCCACTATTAATATTTTGATATATATTCTCCTATTTTTAAAAAAATACCTATTATATATAAATTCACAAGCAAAATTTAAAAACAGTATCACATCATACTATCTCCCAGAGGCGGTGCAGTGCCTCGGTTAAGAATGAGGCTCTGAAGACGATCTGTGTTCAACTGAAAGAGCCGATTTCCTGCCCTTCCTCTTACCAACCCCATGACCTGAGGCAAGCTATTTTATGTCTCTCTGTCCAGTTTCCTCAACCTCGAAATGAACTATGAAATATAAAGCACCCAGAACAAGGTCTTCAATAAGTACTCAATTATTATTAAAGTTTATATCCACTCTTTTCCTATTTACACATTATGAATATTTTCTGGGTCATCAAATTTTTCTTCAATAATATTGTTTTGAATTGCTATGTAGTATTTCATCATGTTTATATACCACAATTTATTTAGTTAATTGTCTATCTGTTGGACATTAGGGTTTTAACATTAAAATAAACATCTCTTTGGCAAAAGTTGAGTTAAATTCATAAGATTATTTCTTAGATTCTTCTTTTTGGTCCATGGTAAGTAAAAAAGAAATTTCTAGGCATGAGGGAACAAGGCTATATGGTTACTAAACTTTCTGATAGACTGGCCAAATCCAGGGTAAAATGTTAGAATATACAGAAAAATAAATGAACTACGTGTCCTTTAGCCATTCATGTACATAATGTCTTTAACCAAGACACAAATTTAAACTTATACTCACTAACAAGTATCTGGGCTACGAATTTCACAGGGCTCTACCTTTAACTGTAGCAAGGCTTGGAAGTCAAATGTGAAGTGCGCTGGCATTTACTGAAATGGAAGGGTCCAAATGAGGACAGGTGGAGCAAAGGTGTCCCAAGGTTTGCACTAGACAGCAGTCATTCTTAAGGTTTTTAATGACTTTTCACTAAGACGCACAGCATATTTTTCTCGTTAAGTTCTATCACTGACATAAATTCTGAAAAGGGTGTGTGTGTGTGTGTGTGTGTGTGTGTAAAATATATTAGAATCTTGGGAGGGGGTGAGGGCAGGGCATACCGCCCCATGGGTGGGAAATACTGTTATATGCCATGGTCACAGTACTTTTAGCCTCCGACTCAGCAACTAAACCAAACAGATCTCAGCAGACTCCCACAGGATACTTAAAAAAGTCAATGTTCTCCATGATTAGAAAGCGATAGTTAAATGCACTCTTAAATAATTTTCAATTTGCTTTTTATCTATTAGCAATAAATCATTTAAGTATGTACCAACAATAACTCCAGTTTTTAAACTGTTGATCCAGGCCTGACCTGGTAGCTCAGTTGGTTAGAGCATTGTCCCGATATGCCAAGGCTGTGGGTTCAATCCCTGGTCAGGGCACATACAAGATCAACCAATGAATGTATAAATGAGTGGAATAACAAATTGGTGTTTCCCTCTCTCTCCTTACTCATTCTTCTCTCTAAAATAAAAAGTAAATAAAGAAATAAATAAAAGAAGGGCAAATCCAAAGCCACTTTCTTCCTGGTAGAAAGCAAAGAATTAAGTCAAACTAGGTAAAAAATTACACGACATAACGAATTCTATCCATCTGCAGATCTATGTAATTGGCTTGCTGGCTCCACTATTCCTAATGGAACTAAATAAAGATGACCTGGCGGTAACACAAGTATTAAATAACTTGCACTGCAGGAGGTCTCATTTCAACCTTGAATAATTGCCCAATTTATCCTCATATGTCACAACAATGAGAAAGCAGTAACTCCTTCCTCAGAGTTGGCAACAGAAATGGTCAGATTAGAGAGAGAGATCAAGAGTATCTAAGATACTCCCACAACATTCAGCTGATTTGATATACGAGTGAATTTTTCATACCTTTGCATTTAACAGCATGAAGAGTACATGGTCAGGAGTTGCCTGGGCTCGCCACTGTAGTATCTCTGCCAGAAACTGGTGCTGCAATCACAAAGCAGAAAGAAAGAATCAGGGTTGGCAACTTTTAAAAAGCTGGATAACACATCTTCCATCTGCTACATGAAGTTTAAGTTCTGTCCTTACTTGTTGGTAAAGATCAACACTTCTGGAACACTTACCTTCCTTACCAAATCATTCTCCTCAATTTGCCCGAGATCCCTTCCTGCAGCTTGTGCTATCCGCTTTCCTGCAACCAGGTTCCCAACCATCACAGAAGCAGGGCCTACACCTGTAAGTAAAGGCAAAATTCAACCCTCTGGAGATGGTAATTCAAGCTGTATACCTGAAAGTGTTTTCAGATTGACCAGAACTGGTTCAAACAGATTATGCATTCTTCTAGGCACCAGAAACACAGGAGCGAACAAGACAAAGCGTTTGAATTCTAGTGGGGAAAGGCAACCAATAAGCACATACACAAATAAATAAAAACCAAAGTAGGACCACAGGAAAGATGGAAAACAGGAGGTGGAGGGCAGCAGGTGGGTTCCTATGGCTTGGGTATAGGGAAGTTTTCACTGTGAGGAGGTTGGTTACATCTGCTCCAATCATAATACCACCCTGAAAGTGAGCTTAACAGTGGTCCAGGAAGAAATCTTTCTCCAATGACTGAAAGTGAGCTCATCAAAAACATGAGAAGGGCTTTATTAAAAGTGAATAATGACATCCAGGTTGTAGGACATTCTGTAAGATAATTGGCCTGGACTCTTCCAAAATATTCATGTCTTGAAGATAAAATAAGGCTGGGAGCTTCTAAATTAAAGGACATGTCAGCCAAATGGAAATCATGATCTTGAGTGGATAATGACTTTTGAAAAAATCATCTATAACAAACAAATGGACAAATATGAAGATGGCCTGTGTACTATTAGATGAAAGTTATTATATTAAGGTTAAATTTCTTTTTTTTTAATGAAAGAAAAAGAGAAGAATGGAATATTAGCCAATTTTATTTTCCTTGTGTTTATCTCTTCAAACTCTGAATCAACCACTTTTAGTTAATTTAATTTATTGTAAATTAATGACAGTTTAAGTTCTACACAGCATTTTTTCTTCTCTTTTTATTAATCATTGTTTAGTTACAGCCGTCCTCATTCTCCCCCATTACTCTCCCCAACCCTCCCCTCCCCCATCTTCCACATTCAATCCTGCCCCCAACCTGCCCACTGCAGGCCTCCCCCATTTGTCTTTGTCCACGTGCCCTTTCACATGTAAAAATATGGAACGCTTCACGAATTTGCACATCATCCTTTTGCAGGGGCTACACTGATCTCTGTATTGTTCCTATTTTAGTTTATGTGCTGTTGAAGTGAGCACTGAGGTTAAATTTCTTAACAGGCTAATGGTATTGTGGTTGATTAGAAAAGTTTTGAGAGAATGTTTTTTATTCTTTGGAGAGATACTATTTCAGTATTGCTGAAATACTTAGGGGTGAAGTGTCATGATGTCTGCAATCTACTTGCAAAGAGTTCAGAAAGAAAAAAGATTAACAACTGGTGAATCTAGGAGAAAGTATATGGGTGCTCATTATGCTATTCTTTAAACTTTTCCATAGATTTGACATTTCAAAATAAAAAGGATGAACCTTCCCTCTCTCAAGAAAAAAAGTGCTGATGTTCTGTATGACTTTCTTGGTGGTCACATAAAGATTAAGACTCTACTACCCTGACTGGTGTGACTCAGTGGATTGAGCACCAGCCTCTAAACCAAAAAGCCACTGGTTCGATTCCCAGTCAGGGCACATTTCTGGGTTGTTTTTTTTTTTTCAAAAATTTTTATTTATCTTTAGAGGGGAAGGAGAGAGGGAGAGAAACATCAATGTATGGTTGCCTCTAGTGCATCCCCTGCAGGGAACTGGTTTGCAGGGAACCTGCCTGCAACCCAGGCATGTGCCCTGACTGGGAATCGAACCACGATCCTCTGGTTCACAGGCCCGTGCTCAATCCACTGAGCTATACCAGCCAGGGCACATTTCTGGGTTTTGGGCCAGGTCCTCCAGTGTGGGGTGTGCAAAAGGCCTCTTGCAGTGCAGGAGAGATTGATGTTTCATCAAACACATATTGATGTTTCTCTCCCTCTTTCTCCCTTCCCTCTCTCTAAAAATAAGTAAATAAAAGCTTTAAAAAAAGATTAATATTCTACCAACTCAAACTAATAAGATAACAATACAGCTGAGTCCTATAAGACGGCTGAGTTTTGAGTAATTTTGATGTTATACTTAAATTAATATTAAATATCTTTTATTGCCAAAAGCTGTTGGTCTTGAATATATTGAAGCATCTCAAAGAAAGTCACTTAAATCATAAATCACTTTTAAAAAATTGGGGAAGCTGAGTAAAGGGGGAAAAGGAAATTCTTTGCACTATTTGGCAACTTTTTGTGTAAAATTATTTCAAAATAAAACATTAAAATAAAAAAAAATCAAATAAAAATTCAAAAAGGGTAAAGTGCCCCAACACTGACTGCTGAACTTTTAGTTTACGAAGTGCCTTACTGAAATTTTAAGTGTAATATGCAAAATTCCTTTCTAAGAAACTGCATAGTAAGTTACAGATGTATCATGTTGGAGAGGCTTTTATACAGGCGAGACTCTATATTTGACTGTATAAGCTGTCGAATCCTGAATTCACACTATAAAATAAAAGTGTCACATTTTAAAAAGTGAATTTTCCAGAGTAGTTTAAAACAACAAAAATAATTCAGCAGCAACTTCCTCAGGTCCCTCTATGCATATTTCTGAGTCCATGGGTCACAAAGCGTGAAAAATAACCAAAAGTAGTAACACTAGGCTGCCACTTGCTATACCTGGAAACATGTCTTTCTTCCATGAAACTCTGCACGTCTCCTGTGGCAAAGACCACCAGTCATTAGCCCCAACACCTATTCTCCTCTACCTAAATAACAGAACCCCCAGTTTGTAGCTGGGCAAATGCCTGAAATAAAGACTATAGTCTTCAGCATGGACAATAATATGAAAGAGGAAATAATATATGCAATTTTTATTTATTTTTACTTTTTAAAAAGATTTTATTTATTTTAGAGAGATGGGGAAGGGAGGGAGAAAGAGAGGAACTGAAACATTAATGTTGGTTGCCTCTAGCAGCACATCCCATACTGGGGATCTGGTCTGCAACCCAGGCATGTGCCCTGACTGGGAATCAAACCAGCAATGCTTTGGTTTGTAGGCTTGCACTCAATCCACTGAGCTACACCAGCCAGGGTGACTGCATTATTTTCTTATAATTTTTCCTTTCCTCTCTGTCCTTGCTGTGAGTACACGGGAGGAGTATACCTATCTGCTCCACTGACTTATTTGGGACAATGAAATATTAGAAGGCATGACAGAAACAGAAGTTTTATACATGCTTGTGTGGTTTGGCCTGGCTTCTTGATTTTGCCATCTGCTCTGAGAAAAATATAGCCCAGGTAGTTGCTGGTTCCATGATGAGGAGACACACGGAACGGTTCTAACCCAGCCTATAGCCTGGAGCCAAGCCAAAGCCCAGCTGACCCCAGCTAAGTCCATAGATCCACATCCCATATGTGAAAAATAAATGCTTCTTATTTTAAGCCCTGAACTTTAGACTTATTTGATGTGCAGCATATCTATAACGGTTGGCTGAAACAATGAGAGAACAAAAAGGTAGGAAATCAGAACCATGACTGAGGGGCTACCATCCTAGTCCTGGACTGCTGTTCTTTTACCTGAGAAATTGATAAATTGTCTCTTGTTTATCTTGCTGTTATGTTTTTCTGAAACTTGAAGCCAGAATCAGTCCTAATACATTCCCATTCTTTGGACAATAGCTCTAGTAGGCAATGAGATTTTCCCCCCTTGAGTGGCTTAACACTTTTTCCACCTTCCTTTCCCTTTCTTCCTTTTTTTTTGTTTTTTAAAACTCATGCCTACCCATCTCCACTTTCTGTATTCTACTTAAAGCCCAACCTGTCATGTAATCCTCATATCATCTCTACCTTATGATTTTCAAGCTGCTCTGGTCTGACCCATATGTACCCACTGAGATCTTAGCAGGTAACCACAACAGACTGCAGAAACACAGAATCCAAGCCTTATGCTTTCTTTCGTCAGGCAGGTGGATGTTATATGCCTATATGGGCTTAGGAATAAATCTTTTAAATAGGCTTTATCATTTAATAAAATTAGATAAAATCTGGCTAGCAAAAGCAAAGCACCTACTATGTCTTTAAGTAGCATCTTTTAAGCACTACTATGACATGAAAGTTTTGTTAAAGGAATCCTAGATTAAATGCTATTTTTAAAGGATTTTATAGGATCATACGAAAAATGAATGTGGGACTTCAGTGGTAACAGGATTTGAGATGGAGAAGGACTGTGTTTTATAAATCTGTCAGACACTTAGGTAGGCAGGTAAAATGAAGATACCTTTTTTTTCTTAAGATATTTCTTTTTATATATTCTTAATTAGTAACATATAGACCTCTTGATTTTAACTGTTCCTTTAGAATACTGGGCTCCATAAACTCTTTTTCCACTGGTAGAAATTGATAAATATCACATACGCTTTAGCTCTACACACACTATTACTAAGATAAGGTTAGCTGGTGAGCTGACAATAACATCTAGATAAACAGCCATGATATGATTTTAGCCACCAGACCACTGAAGTAGTAACTACTGCAGAGCAGAGTATATTAACATAACATCCCGATAAAAATATCTTAGAGAGCCAGAGACTTACCTATATTTTATTATTGTACATTCATGTTTACTCTTCAGTAAAAGCTACCTTACAGAAATGCAATTAAATGCCAAGCTTCCCTTTCCCTTCCTAACCTTCCCACGTTTATCTCCTTTTCCCAACACAGTTGCAGGCTGAGGTGCTGATGTACACGGTGTGTGTGTGGCGGCTGCAAGATCTGAAAAGGTCAGATGCTGGCTCTCATGTGGGGCAGACAGGAAACAAGAAGCCTCTCATTAACTTCTCAATTAATTGAAAAAACATTGATAAAACGGAATGATTTCATGTTGGATTGAACTGACAGTTTAACATGACTGACCATCAATCAATTACTCCTGCCTTTAGCCTCCTAATTCAGTGCTATACCCTAGGATTGCTAACACATTAGGCAAAAGGGTAAAACTGAGAATTTATTTTGTTTTTCTTTTCCATACGGCAACTCACATACTCTTATTTGCATCTTGATGTCATAGGAATATGGCAAATGCCAAATATGCTATTTATCTCTGCTTACAATCCAACAAATTTCTTATTTTTAATAAAATTAAGACTTTTACTTGAAATAAAGAAGTATTAAATTTAATCACTGAAGAAGTGAACAGTTAGAAACTACCATGATTGATAGAGATACATGCTTATAATCCAGCAAATTTCTGAATCAAATATCTTTCCCCTCAGAGGTGTTACAGGCCCAAATCAAGCCTCTACTGCTAAAAAGGAATGCAGGGGACTCTAGATAAGACAGTCCCTACAGAAAGGCAGTATAACTTAGTGATTCAGAGTGTGGATTTCAGAGTCACAACTGGTGTGACTCTCATCTCTGCCACTGGCTAGCTGCATGACTTTGAGCACAATTCTTAACTTTCCTGAACTTTACTTTCCACAGCTAGGGGCAAAATTTCAGGATCATATTTGTAAAACTTAAAAATTAGCTAATAAGCCCTGGCTGGTGTAGCTCAGTGGATTGAGCACAGGCCTGCAAACCAGACAATCGCGGTTCAATCCCAGTCAGGGCACATGCCTGGGTTGCAGGCTGATTCCCTGCAGGCCAGTTCCCAGCAGGGGACCCATGAAAGGCAACCATACATTGATGTTTCTCTCCCTCTCTCCTTCCCTTCCCCTCTACAGATAAATAAATAAAATCTTTAAAAAAATTAGCTAATATTTGGCTTTTAGTAGGCACTGAATAAATAGTAGCTATTCTCATTATCAGAACCTTCCCTTACAGTACTCACTACAGTACTCCCACGCAAGTGGGATTCTGATCATCTTGACTCCAGATCATACATTCAGAGATTCAGAATTACTCAGGAGACTACCGGTCAAGATGGTAACATGGGCAGACACGGCTTACTTCTGCTCAACCACATCAAAATTACAACTAAAATATAGGACAACCATCACTCAGAACTGTTAGAAATAGAGTTGAATGGAAGTCTAACAACTATAGAATTAAAGAAAACACATTCATCCAGACTGAGCTGGCAAGCTGGTGTCACATCTGAGACTCCACCCACCCAACCTATGGGCCCACGTAAACTGCTTTTCTATATGAAGAACGGGTCTTGGCTCATGTTTCACAACTTCCTAAGTCCTCTAAAACAAGCAACAGCCAGCCTCAGTGAGCCCTAGGCCCAGCACTAACAGCAACTAGCCAAGATTCACAGCGTGGCTTTGCCTGGGAATCCCCAGTCCCAGCACAAGTAGCAGCCATCTCAGATTGCTTTATAGCTCAGGCAGGGTGGCCCCAGGCAAAACAAAGGTGGGGCTGACCTTGGCCTGCACCACCTGGGAAACCCCAAGGACAGCACACTCAGCGGACAGCTACAGACCACACTAGAGTACCACCACCCTGCCTCTGCATAGCTGCTCCTCCACAGAGGTCAGAGGTTGGTGGTAAGTCATCACAGCCAATCCTTGCAGTGGACTAGCATGAGTAAATCCCTCCCACTGACCTGACAACAGCAACCAAGGCTCAACTACTGGAGGAGGCTATACTCTGCCCACACAAAGAACGTACCCTGAGTACCCAGCCTGGGTGATAGGGCAGGCTGGGCCACTGGACCCTAAGGACACCTACTATGTTAGGCCATACAACCAAGACATGGAGTCAAAGCAGCTCTACATAATACATAAAAACAAACACAGAGAAGCTGCCAAAATGAGGAGACAAAGAAACGTGGCCCAAATGAAAGAACAGATCAAAATTCTAAAAACAGAGCTAAATGAAATGGAGGTAAGCAATCTATTGCATGCAGCATCCAAAACACTGCTTAGAAGGATGCTGAAGGAACTTAGTGAGGACCTCAGCATCATAAAAAAGATCCAGTCAGAAATGAAGGATACACTAATTGAAAGAAAGAACAATTTACAAGGAATCAATGCAGAGCGGATAAAGCTGAGAATCAAATCAATGATTTGGAACAAAAGGAAGTAAAAAACAAACACTGCAGAAAAACAAGAAAAAATCCAAAAAAATGAAGACAGTATAAACAGCCTCTGGGACAACTTCAAGAGGTCCAACATTCACATCACAGGGATGCCACAAGAAGAGAAAAAGCAAGAAATTGGGAATTCATTTTTAAAAATAATGAAAGAAAACTTCCCTGATTTGATGAAGAAAATAGACATGCAAGACCAGGAAGCACAGAGAGTCCCAAACAAGATGGATTGCAAAGAGGCCCACTCCAAGACACAGCATAATTGAAGTGCCAAAGGTTAAAGATAAAGATAGAATCTTAAAAGCAGCAAGAGAAAAGAAGTTAGTTACCTAGAGGGGAATTCCCATAAAATCAAAAGCCTAGAAGGGATTGGCGAGAAACATTCAAAGTGATGATGAAAAGCAGGGAGCTATAGCCAAGATTGCTCTACCCAGCAAAGCTACCATTAGGATCAAAGTGCAGATGAAGAGTTTCCTAGACAAGAAAAAACTAAAGGAGTTCATCATCACCAAACCATTATTATATATTTAAGAAAAAGAAGAAGATAAAAAAATGGCAAAATGGCAAAACAATAAAATGGCAAAAATACATACCTATCAACAATTGAATCCAAAAAACAAATTAAGCAAACAAGAACAGAGTCAGAATCATGGATGGATATGGAGAGCATTTTGGTGGTTGCTAGATTACAGAGGTGAGGGGATTAAGAAGTACAAATAGATAGTTACAGAATAGCCATGGGAATGTACAGTACAGTATAGGAAATGGAGTAGCCAAAGAATTTATCTGCATGACCCGTGAACATGAACAATGGGAGGGATTGCGTGAGGGAGTAGGGGGTGCTGGGTGGAGGGGGCAAAGGGGTAAAAACCAGGACAACTGTAATAACATTATCAATAAAATATAATTTTAAAAAATTTAAAAAGAAAAAAAGAATTACTCAGAAGGGGGAACCAATAATAAACTCAGGGAAGCCTATTCTACAGAGTCCCAGCCCTCCCTGTTTTCTGTCACTTAATAACTATTCTTATGTTACTTATCTTTGGAAAGACTAATTCTAGAGAAATAATCATGCTGAAGGAACTCAGTTTCTTGAATTTATAATTTTAATATTACCTTTTCAAAGCCAGCATATTACCTGGTTGTTTTTGCCGGGGTTTTGGCAAATTGGTCACGCATGTATGTGGGCACATGAGGATATTGCATGGATGTAGAGATCCTTCCAGAAAGAGATGTTTTGTTTGAGATATATGAATCCCTCCTAGTGGAGTTTTTGGCAAAGTATTGGCAGGCACCAGGGCAAGACAATAAACCCCGACTTGATGAATGCTATCGATTGCCTAGAAAAATAAAAAGAAAAGTATTCAGTGAGATTAACTTTACTATATTTGACATCATCCTAACATAATTCATTATTCTGCTCCAGGATTTTTCTTTCTCTATCCATTCTATTCTAGGTCTAGAATCTGGTAGGTTATTAAGATCCCATAGGTCCTGATGTACCCAATCCTGTCAGTGATGGTAGAGGTCAACAGAAGGGGGAAGATGCAAACTAACTGGACAGAGGTGAACTTGCAAGCCTCAATACAGTCCCTCTTGAGTGATACTGTAAGAAATTTCTTTTGGTTCTTTTAATATTTTGGCTGCCCAATATGAATCAATTAAACTGAGTTAAACGTATTTTTTAGAGATTTTATTGATTTATCTTTAGAGGGGAAGAGAAGGAGAAAGGAAGAGAAATATCAATGTATGGTTGCCTCTCGTATATTCCCTGCTGGGAACTGGCCTGCAACCCAGGCGTGTGCCCTGACTGGGAATCGAACTGTGGTTGTTTGGTTCGCAGGCCTGCACTCAATCCACTGAGCTACACCAGCCAGGGCTGAGTTAAAAGTATTTTTATGATGAACCCAACAGAAGCTCTTTACTTTGGCCCCTGCTTTAAGTAGTTCACCAAGAGAGCAGGAATCCCCTCTGCAAAACACCTGGGCAAGGCCCACTGCACACTGAGCACTGAGGGCCACCAGCCCCCCACGTGCGCCTCTGCCCCCCGTCACACACCTGTGTGCCTGGGAGCATCAGCTGTGCTTGCTTCTACACATTTTATGCCAGTTGTTATTGTTCACATAATTGAATTAATCATTAAATCAACTGATAAAATATGAATGCAAAACAACAGAAGAGAGTTATGCTTTAGAAAGACTCATTAAAGATGAGCTCCTAAAAAACTACTGTTGATAGGTATGGGCAAGTGAATCCTAAAAGGTAAAGGATTGTATGTTCCAGTACCTTTTCAAATACTTACATTTTTAATTACTTTTTTAAAGAGAACTTTTATAAGTTTATTTATGCCAAACTGATAACATATGCAGGGAGCAAGATCTCAAAAGCTCCACAGAGTAACAGTTCTGCAGTTTCTTTTATGCACTTGAAATTAAGAAGATGACAGGAAGATTACATGAAGGTTGTTTCAACCAGCTTTTAAAACGAACTGACCAACCAAACGTACCAGTTGAGAGGGTTCTACTGTATTACCCACAGGTCTTACTGAAAAGGAGACACAGCCTCAGAGGGAGAATGCAGCAATAGTCATGACAGACCAGTAAGGTCTTTCACTGACACCACTTCAAAGGGCAAGAGAATAACCCTGAAAATTAATACTCCTCATGCTATCCTACTAATCGGCTGAGACGACTGGGAAATGGCAAGTCCAGCAGAGTTCCTAAGTCTCTGGTATCTTAGAGTATACAGAAAGTTGGCAAATGACATGTAGCCTGGATTCCCTACTGAACACAGCATCTGGTTAAGTTGTCTACTGACCATTTTCCTTAGAACATGCTGAGTTAGGTATTTAGCTTCTTATACACAGACCTGGAATGAAACAATCTCAGGGCTCTACCTACCAGAATATATGGCATCTTTACTATTCTACTATGAATCCAAGGACTCCAAGCTGAGAAGCTACAGAGACTGGGAAATGAATACCCTCTTATTTCATGTCCAAATCAGACCCTGAATGACTTTTACAAGAATTCGGATTAGGCCCTGGCTGATGTAGCTGAGTGGATTGAGCGCAGGCCTGAGAACCAAAGGATCACGGTTCGATTCCCAGTCAGGGCACATGCCTGGGTTGCAGGCCAGTTCCCAGCAGGGAACACATGAGAGGCAACCATACATTGATATTTCTCTCCCTCTCTCCTTCCTTTCCCCTCTAAAGATAAATAAATAAAATCTTAAACAAACAAACAAAAGAATTTGGATTAGTAAATTAATACAGCATTTAATTCCTATACTTTTCCAGGGAAGAGTAACATACATCTTAAGGAACTTCAGTTTCCTGTGATGGCAAAAACATAATTTGCTATAAGATTCAACCATTATGCCTCAAAGTTCATTCTGAATGAAATAAGCAGTTTGTTTATTAGTTTGAAAATATGAACAGGATAAAAAATATTCTCTTTTCAGGCCTGATTCTTAGCCACCTTTCAGAGATCAACTCAGCCCCACCTTCTTCGCTGTCTTTTCTGACTAGTGTACCTTCAGTAGAGTCTTTTTGCTGACCATCCACTAGAAATAGCCTGTCTTATAGCAGCTGATAATGCAGAATCACAGGCCTGAGGACAGCAAGAAAGCTAAAAAGTCATCTAGTCCTGTCTCTCATCTCACACTTGCACCGTTTCTCCAACGTTACCACCGGCTGGCAGTTAATAAACCCAAATGCCCCAAGCAGACAAGCCGTAGATGTTGGTAACACTCCCGATGACATGTCATTGCTATGGTGAGGACAGTCCATGTTTCCTTTTACTGGAACATGTCAGTCCATGTCTCACAGTAGAACATAGACAGACCCTCCATCTATCCAACACACACTTACTGAGCCTGCCATGAAGATGTGCTGACAGAGCTAACAGGCTCTGGGGACCAAGCAGGGGATAAAAGAGAGAAAGTGTTGGCCTTTATAGGGCTTACAATATAGTAGATATAGAAAACAATAAATATAAACATATAAAGAGAATTTATTGCCCTGTGATAAACAGAAAAAGAGGGGACGGACAAAGAGTAAAAGGAAATGTTATTTAATATAGAGTGGGCCTCTCTAAACTCCTTATTGGTAATTATGCTTTTTTTAAAAAAAATATATATTTATTTATTTATCTTTTTTTAAAATTAATTTATTTTTTTAAATTGATTATGCTGTTACAGTTGTTCTATTCCCCCCTTCATTCCCCTCCACCCTGCCCCCCCAACCCCACCATTACCCCCCTTTAGTTTATGTCCATGTGTCTCAAGTCCTTTAGGTTCTATATTTCCCATGCTATTCTTGCCCCCCCCCATCTATTTTCTATCTACTGTCTATGCTACTTATTTTCTGTACCTTCTCCCCCCATCTCCTCCTCCCACTCCCCCTGTTGCTAACCCTCCTTGAGATCTTCATTTCTATATTTCCACTCCTGATCTAGCTGTTCTTTTAGTTTGCTTTCGTTTTAGGTGTGGTTGTTAATAACTGTGAGTTTGTTGTCCTTTCACTGTTCATGTTTCTTTATCTTCTTTTTCTTAGATAAGTCCCTTTAACATTTCATATAATAAGGGCTTGGTGATGATGAACTCCTTGAATTTGGTCTTATCTGAGAAGCACCTTATCTGTCCTTCCATTCTAAAGAGCAATTCATTGCTGGATTGCTCTATCCAGCAATCTTGGTTGTAGGTCTTTAGATTTCATGATTTGGAATATTTCTTTCCAGCCCCTTCTTGCCTGTAAGGTCTCTTTTGAGAAATCTGCTGACAGTCTGATGGGGACTCCTTTGTAGGTGATTGTCCCCTTAGCTCTTGCTGCTTCTAGGATTCTCTCCTTCATTTTAATTTTGGCTAATGTAATTATGATATGCCTTGGTGTGTTTCTTCTTGAGTCCAACTTTTTTGGTACTCTCTGGGCTTCTTGGATTTCTTGGAAGTCTATTTCCTTTGCCAGATTGGGGAAATTTTCTTTTATTATTTGTTCAAATAGTTTTTCCACTGGTGGTTGTGTCTTTCCCCCTTCTGGTACCCCTATAATTCGGATATTGGAGCGTTTAAAGATGTCCTGGAGGTTCCTAAGACTCTCCTCATTTCTTTGAATTCTTGCTCCTTGACTCTTTTCTGTTTGGCCATTATTTGGTTTCTTCTGGTCCACTCCATTGATTTGAGTCCCAGTTTCCTTTTCATCTCTATGGGTTTCCTGTGGAGTTCCATTCATTTCCCTTAATTTAGCCTTCATATGTTTCTCTAATTTGTGGCTATAATCAACCAGATCTGTGAGGAAGCTGATGACCAGTGTTTTAAACTGTGCGTCTGAGAGTTTTGCTATTTCTTCGTCGCTTAGATTTATCTCTGGGGCTTTGAGGTCTCCCTGCAACATTTTTGGTCTGTTCTGGCCCTTTAAATGTGAGAAACTGCTCCTTGGACTCCCAGGTCGCTGGGTTGTGACGCTGTATGTGGGGGCGTGGTCAGAGCGGGGAAATGGCGGCGCCCTCTATCGCCGCCGAGGCCGGTCCAACCACCCACTCCCTCGCCCGCGCGCAATTAGGCAACCGCAGTCAACTCGCTGCACCGCCTCCCCACTGTCTCCTCTGCAGTCGCTCACCCGGTGGGTTGCTCGGTCGCTCACTAGGGTCGCTCACTAGGTCCAATCCTGGGTTTGGAACCCGTGCATCTGGATTCGCGCGTCTGGATTCCGCGCCCGGGTCCGGGGTCCGACTGAGCCCTCCCTTGCAGCTCCTCACCAGACGCTGGTTTCGCCCCTTACCGGTGGGGCTGAAGAATTTGTTGTTAGCGGACTTCCGAAAAGTTCAGTTTTCCGTGTTCTGGTTGTGCTTTCTGATGCTAATATTTAGTTGTCCCTAAACTTGGTTGTGTGAGGAGGCACGGCACATCCACCTAAACCTCCATCTTGGCGGAAGTCTGGTAATTATGCTTATGATTATTTTTGCTATTAATAAATAATAATCACCATCATCACTTACTGAAATACAGGTACTAAAATATTTCAAGTAATTATCTAATTACTATGATTTAATCCTCCTAGTAGCTCTATAATATAAATAATTTTATGCCCCCTTTGCAGATTAGCAAACAAGCTCACTGAGGTTATGTAACGTGCCTAAAGGCACGTATGTGGTGGGGAGTGGAGCTGGGATTCAAAGTGTGATTCTACATGAAGACCAGGTAAGTGCCTTTCATCACTCGGGCCTGACTACTCTAGAAACATATCCCTCTTACTAAACCTGTATCCTTCTTTTTCCCTAGTGGTTTGTGTCACCTGGGTCTCCAACTCCACAGTAAGACCCCTGCAGAATAGAAACAGCACCCTCTGTTTTCTGGGACCCCCTGCACTCCAGGCGCCACTTGTAATGTGCCGTCAGACTGTAGCTCTTGACAAGCAGACTGGTGCTGTGAAAGATGTGCTCTGTATATGGACAGTTAACACTTTCATGAGGTGTAAACACTTAGGAACAAAAAAGTGAAAGAATTTGCTGAGGCAAGGTAATACAATTATTTTCGGCAACCTGAGCAGAAAAATACTACATGGTCCACAAGGAGAAATGATATCAATTATCTAATTTTGCTAATAGTACCCAGAATATTTAAGTAGTGATTGGCAAGAGAAAAAAATAAGGCAGCATAACTAGTCCATCAAGAAAATGCTAAGCAGTGGTTGCCGCCATCTCTAAAAACAAAGCCACCGGTCCCGATGAAGACACAAGGTGTGCTCACCTGCAGCACACGGCTCATCCACTGGAAACTGTCCTCCTCAGTAGCGTCAGGTCGTTGTTCCGCAACCACCACAATGCGCTCATCATAAAATACAGACACAGAAAACACAGCAATTCTAAGAGAGACAGATCAAACACATCAGGACTCCCTTCATGACTGGTCCTATGTGCTTTGCTCAGTCGGAATACAGAGAAGAGACAACCCCACCGCACTAGCCAAGAATGAGTATAGAAAAGAAAATGTACAATCATTACTATCAAAACAAGGACTTGAACCACATGTATTAAGCACCACTGTTGTAAATGTTGGGACTCAGTGATAAAAAAGACAAAGGCCCTGTCTTTGTGGGGTTTGCATGTCAAGAGACAGGACAAACAAATAAATATAAAATAATGTCACGTAATGTACACTAGGAGAAAACTACGGGAAGGTGAGAGGGTGGAGTGGTGTGCGGGGTGTACTATGAAGGCAGGTGGCTGGGGAAGCACCAGCCTGACGAGCGGACACTGGAGCAGAGACCTGAATGAAGTGAGGACGTGAGCCACGCGAAGATCTGGAGGAAGAGGTTTCCGGGCAGTAGGAACAGAAAGCGAAAAGGTTCTGAGGTAGGAACGAGCTTGGCAGGTTTGAGGAACAGCAAGAAGGCCAGTGTGCCTGGAGCAGAGTGGTGAAGCAGAGAGTGGTGGGGAGAGGTCAGAGCCAGGTCAGAGCCAGGCCAGGGCAGTCACAGCGGACCTGGTAGGCCAAGGCGCGAGGGATGTTTTGAGTGAGGTCTCCGCTCAAATGTCCCCTTACTGGCAATGCATTCCTAATCTGGCAAGCACACCCCCACCACTCTGTGTTTTTTCTGCATAGCATTTGTCATCCTCTCATGTTATCTATTTCCCTCTGTGGTTACTGTCTAGTAACCCCTAATGAGAATGTGAGCTTCAAATGGCTTATTTCGTTTAATACCACACCCTGAGCATCTACAATGGTGGCATACAGTTGGCACCCAATAAATATTTTTGAATGAATGCATAAAAAAATTCATTGCAGAGCTGCATGCATGACCATGTCCCTCCCTTCCTCTCACCCACACATATTTATTGAACACCTACTGTGTGCCAGGTGCTGTGCTGAGTGCTGGGGAAACAGCTGGGGCCAAAGACAGAAAAGTCCAGTGCCCGTGGAGTTTACATCTCATGGGAAGCTACACCATGACAAAAACCTACACATTTCAGGAACTGGTTCTCTATTGATTTATTTTTCTTCTTCAAAAGCTAAAGGGACACCAGGATTGCTTTAAAAACACATATCCATGATTGTAAACTACCAAATAGGACATCAATTACTCAAGTATGAACCAAATCTCTTTTCTTGAATTAATAAGGGAAGAACAAAGAATATCTAATTGATTTCATCCATGGAATTTAAAATTAGCACTTATGTACTAAGTGTCTATGCTAAAATAATATAATAATTTAGTTAGAGATGAGTAAGAGAAACAATTCTTGGATGCAAAACTCCAAAAGAGTAGCATCTACCTAATTAGACTGCATGGGACTACTATACTAAATGAATGTGTAGCAAGTTCAACACCTTAGGCTTCTCTTCAGGAATCAACAAATATTAATAATTAAAAGCTAAAATACAGGATATCATTGTCTTATGTCTCTCAATTATAGCCAAAAAAATCAGACATTTAAAGACAAATATTCAAAGTCTGGTTTCTGCTATGCTTTACCAAAATAACCTAATCACTGGAAAGAGAATCTCCAGAATACAACTCAAATCACCCAATAAGTATGTTTAGATTCCACTGAAAATATTAACATTTGAAGTGTGCACTACTCACCTTCCCCTGTAAACAGTCTTTATTGACTCAACAGCCAGTCCAGTAGCAACAATGTCGTCAGCATTATGTCTCCGACCACTAACCATCAGTAGCCCATCCATTTTTCCAACCACAAACACCAAGCTGCCCTGAAAAATAACAAGGATTTACCTTGATTTTCATAATTTAAGTAGCAAAAGAGACATTTTACTTCCTGTCTTGAAATAAACCTCATGAAAAATTTAAGAAAATAGTACCATACTTTATGGGTTCTAAGAAAGTGTTTACATCTCAGCATCTTGGAAATGGAAAAAAAAATCAGTGGCATCTTCTAATTAATGGGATCTTACAACGTATAAGAAGGAAATCTGTTCATATTTTTAAAAGATTTTATTTATTTTTAGAGGGAGGGGATTGGAGGGAGTAAGAGTGGGAGAGAAACATCAATGTGTGGTTGCCTTTAGTACGTCCCCTACTGAGATGCAACACAGGCATGTGCCCTGACTGGGAATCAAGCCGGTGATCCTTTGGTTTGCAGGCAGGAGCTCAAGCCACTTAGTCATACCAGCCATGGCTATTCTTTTTTTTTTTTTTTTTGAAAGAGGGGAAGTAGGAAGAAAGAGAGGGAGAGAGAAACATTATTGGTTGCCTCCCGTATGCGCCCTGACCAAGGACTGAACCTACAACCCAGGCATGTGCCTTACCAAGAATTGAACAGGTGACCCTCTGCTTTTCGAGACAATGCCCAATCAGTCAGGGTTGCGCAACACTGGTCAGGGCCCATTCATATTTATTCTTAGGGAGGAATTTTGGAAGAAAGCAACTAGGCTGGCACGCAAGCAGTTTATTTCTGCACCAATGATTATGTATCAGTTCATCTTCTCTACTTATTCATGGGATGGAGGCAGAGGAGGAAAATGTTAAGTCAATTAATAATGGAATTAGGAAGAGATAAAACTGTTAATGTGAGAAGGACTGTTTCACGTTTATAAGGGTGATGCTGTTTTCATCTGGCGAGATGACAAGCAGGCTACTAGAGAAAGGTGGAAGGAAGAGTGTAGGAGCCTCTCCTTTCCAGGAGGGTAACAGAGCTGCAGGAAGGTATGCTGTTAGTGCCCTGAAGCATCCCCACATAAATAATTTTATTTATTATTTCATCATTGTCAATCATTCTCCCAGACCCACTGGCAATAAATTCACTTTTCCATTCATTACAGAATTCCTGGATTTCTTGTACCATGTATATATATTCATTATCTAGCTACCTCCGTGTGAATGTCACTGTGTGATTTACTGAGCACAGTGTAGTGCCATACACTCCCTGGACTATGTCACACATAACCTCTAGTCTCAAGAAGCTAGTGGTCCATCCCAAGAGACAGAAGAGAATGAGTCCTCTCCAAGACAGTGTGAAAAATGCTACAGTCGAAATAAATAAAGAGAATGAGACAGTCACTGCTAGTGTCTCGTGCCCATTTCTTTCACAGTGACAGAATGACTGTAAAAACCATTTGACTGTAAAGATAATTTGCTGAAAAACATATTCCTTTTATCAAAGAATTTACCATCAGGCAAATTGTGTTGCTGATAATTTGTATAAAAATGCTTGTACCTATTTATTATGGTTTCCTTTTGCTATTAAAGAGGCTTTTTTTCAGTATACTTCTAACTTATTGAAACATATTAATCAAATCAAAGAAAGGTAGCAAGAATAACTGAAAAGAGTTTTGAAAATAAAAAATGTCTCAGTTTGGAGGAGTCGAATGAACTTGGGTAACGGAAGCAATAAACATTAATGCACTTGTGACATTCTTACAGGAACTGCTCTAAATGTAAGTGCAGCGGTCCTGCAGTCCTCGAACTCATCAGAATTTGTTCTGTTCTGTGAACTCAAGTCCACTATTTGAATAAGATGCACCAAAACAAACACGAAAGCATCACTTACTGGCCCTACAAACCCCAGCAATCCTGACCGGATGAATGGCACGTCCCCAACAGGAGAGCCCGCAGAATTCACTGGAATCACCTAAAAGACAGAAAAAAGAAAGTGAGAATCAGATTTTGTTCTTATTTGAGAATCTCTCATGCATGTGAGATCTCTTGACTCATACATACAGGGTTCTCATACATATGTATATATTAAGTTTGCTACCTTCTCTTGTAAAAAAAAGTATTTGATTCTTTTAAAGTCTTTAAGTCTTAAACAAATTATATGCCACAAGAAACACATAGTAAAATTATATAAATAGTGAATACAGGAATCCTAACCCTCCTGAAGAGATAACAATCATTTACAATACATTGTTTATTTCTCTGGACCTTTTTTACATGCATGTATTAGCATATCAAGATTTTTCTTTTTTTGATTTGATAGACAGACACTGATTTGTTGTTGCACTTATTTTTGCATACAGTGGTTGATTCTTGCATGTGTCCTGACCAGGGAATGAACCTGCAACCTTGGTGTACTGGGACAACACTCTAATCAACTGAGCTATGCAGGTGGGGCTAAGACTTTTTTTTTAAAGGAATCATATTTATCTACTGCTTTGCAACTTGCTTTTCACATGATGTATCTTGGATACCTTTACAAGTTGGTAACAGGCTATCTAGCTCATTCTGTACAAGAGTTCTCTAACATGCCATTGCATGGAGGTCAGTATAGCATAGCCCTTGAGTCAAATGTAAGTTCAGTTTCTGGCTCTGCCACTAGCCAGTAATGTGGACCTTGGGCAAGTTCCTGGACTTCTTGAAACCTGTGTTTCTTTTGCCATAAAATGAAACTGCCAATGCCTCTAACACACAGGCTTAGAGTAAAGAGTAAGAGAATGTAAACAGATTTGCAGACATAAGGAGTGGCTGGCCGAGAGTCAGTTCAGGAAACTATAGAATTAGTAGGTATTTAAAGCAGCAGTCTTTATGGCTGTGTAGGTCATTTCAATTTTTCACTACTACGAACAGTGCTTTACTGAATATTCTTATACATATTTAGTGCATTTGTATAAAAAGCATTAATTTTATGAATTTTAACAGGCAGCCCTACAAAACTGTTATAGAAGCCCTATTTAGTGTGGCTCAGTTGGTTGGAGTGTCATGCCATAGACCAAAGGGTTGTGAACTCAATTCCCAGTTACATGCCTCAGTTGCGGGTTCAATCAAGTTGGGGCATGTATGGAAGGCAACTGATTGATGTTTCTCTCCCATACCAATGTTTCTGTCTCTCTCTCCCCCTCTCTTTCCTTTTCTCTAAAATCAATGAGCATGTCCTTGGGTGAGGATTAAAAAATATATATAAGTTATATAAGTTATACTCCTCCAACAACAAGCAGAATGACCGTTTTTTCTATACTCTAACGCATAATATGTGTAATCAGTTTTTCCAAACGTTGCACATCAGATAGGCCAAAAAAAAAACCCCAGAAAAAAAAGATATCCCATTGTTGTTTTAACTACATTTCTTTATTAGGACTATGGATGAATTTTCTTTCCTTTGTTTACTGGCCATTTGTATTTTTTAAATAAATAATCTATTCCTGTTTCCTATTTATCTCCTCTATTGGATTGGTGTTCTTTCCTTTTAATTTTTAAAAAACTTTTTATTTTATTGATTATGCCATTACAGTTGTTCTATTTCCCCCCTTCATTCCCCTCCACCCTGCACACCCCCTCCCCCACCATTCCCCCCTTTAGTTTATGACGTGTCTCAATTTCTTTAGATTCTGTATTTCCCATACTATTCTTACCTTCTCCCCTATCTATTTTCTATCTACTGTCTATGCTACTTATTTTCTGTACCTTCCCCCCTTCTCCTCCTCCCACTCCCCTGTTGCTAACCCTCCATGTGATCTTCATTTCTATGATTCTGCTCCTGATCTAGCTGTCCTCTTAATTTGATTTTGTTTTAGGTGTGGTTCTTAATGACGGTGAGTTTGCTGTCCTTTCGCTGTTCATCTTTTTAATCTTCTTTTTCTTAGATAAGTCCCTTTAACATTTCATATAATAAGGGCTTGGTGATGATGAACTCCTTGAATTTGATCTTAGCTGAGAAGCACTTTATCTGCCCTTCCATTCTAAATGAAAGCTTTGCTGGATAGAGCAATCTTGGTTGTAGGTCTTTGGATTTCATGACTTGGAATACCTCTTTCCAGCCCCTTCTTGCCTGTAAGGTCTCTTTTGAGAAATCAGCTGACAGTCTGTTGGGAACTCCTTTGTAGGTGACTGTCCCCTTAGCTCTTGCTGCTTCTAGGATTCTCTCCTTCATTTTAATCTTGGCTAAGGTAATGATGATGTGCCTTGGTGTGTTCCTTCTTGGGTCCAACTTCTTTGGGACTCTGAGCTTCCTGGATTTCCTGGAAGTCTATTTCCTTTGCCAGATTGGGGAAGTTCTCCTTTATTATTTGTTCAAATAAGTTTTCCATTCATGACTGTTCCTCTTCCCCTTCTGGTACCCCTATAATTCGGATGTTGGAGCATTTAAAGATGTCCTGGAGGTTCCTAAATCTCTCATTTTTTTGAATTCTTGTTTCTTCATCCTTTTCTGTTTGGTTGTTTCTTTCTTCCTTCTGGCCCACTCCTTTGATTTGAGTCCCAGTTTCCTTTCCATTACTATTGGTTTCCTGTGTACTTCCCTTCATTTCAATTAGTTTAGCTTCCATATGTTCCTCTAATTTGTGACTAAAATCAACCAGTTCTGTGAGCATCCTGATCAGCAGTGTTTTGAACTGTGCATCTGAAAGTTTGGCTATTTCTTCATCACTCAGATTTATCGGCTCTGGGGCTCTGAGCTGTTCTTGAGCCATGTTTTGATCTGTTTGTGCCTGTTACATATGAGGAGCAGAGCCTTAGTTGCTCACCAGGGCGGGGCCACCCAGGTCGCTGGTTTGTGACGCTGTAGGTGGGGGTGTGGTCAGAGAGGGGCCACCCAGGTCGTTGGTTATGATGCTGTATGTGGGGGCAGGGTCAGAGACAGACAATGGCGGTTCCCTCTGCCACTTCCTGCTGCTGGGGCCTGCACAGTCTGTCTCACCACCGCTAGCTCCTTCACCAGTTTATCTGCGTGTGAATGTGTGACCATAGTCTGCCCTCAGTGGGATCGCCGCCTTGCACTCTCAGTGGGGCGACCGCTTCTCCACACCTGGGATCCGCCCACGGCTGCTGGCGCACCTGGGTCGCGTGCCCGGTTAGGTCTGGTGGATCTTTCCTGCCCGATCCCGCTCTGCTGCTGGCGCTGCCCCTCTTACTGGTTTGGCTGAAGGGTTCGTTGTTGTCAGATTCCGTTTAGTTCAATTTTCTGTAGTTTGGCTGCGTTTCTGTTGCTAAAACTTTGTTGTTTTTAAACTTGGTTGTGTGAGAAGGCAAAGTAATTCCACCTACCCCTCCATCTTGGCGGAAGTCCCCTTTCCCTTTAATTTTTAAGATTTCTTTTTTTTTCATATAGGGAACAATTATAACAAGAGCTAACATCTATTAAATGCTTATTTTGTGCCAGCCATACGATCAGTTGTTCTACAGTTAATCCTCAAGACAGCCCATGAAGCAGGATTTATAATTTCCATTTCACAGATGAGAAAGTGAGACACAGAAAGTTTCATTTGCCTCCGATCAAACAGCTAACAGTGGGGGGGGGGGGCCTGTCAATGGAAAATTAGCTCTTTGCTGGCATATGTATTAAAAAGTTTTTGTCATTGGTAGCGTATTTTTAAAATATACTTTTATTTTCTGGCCAGTCATTATTACTAGGTCTTTTGTCCTAGTAAAACGTTAACCACGTTGGAAAACTCTTCAGGGTTTACAAGTAAGAATCCAGCAAGAAAAATATCAGAAACTTGAATTGCAAAATCAAGGCAATAGTTTTCTCCTTTTTTTAGTTAGGATTTTTATTCTACTTTACTATCATTAAATTTATACTGCAGATTTCCGTTTCTTCGTTACTATGGACCATAGTAATGGGTTTCTTCATTACTATGGACCAAACTTTCTTCAGTACTATGGTATTAAATCTGAGAATTTTAATTAGTCAGCTACCTTCATAGGAAAGGAAACATAAAATATTATCAGTATCTTCAAAGACTGCTAGAGGATCCTGTTTATAGTAAGTAAAATGCAATGAAAAATTCAGGTGTTAGAAATATATGTAGTCCAAGCAATTTATACCCAAACACTTTTAAAATAAAAGAAATAGGGAAAGATTTAAATTAGTAAAATGTATATACACTAGAATTAGTCACCTGAAAGTAAACCTGGCAGTATATGTTTGAAGAATTTATGAACATCTACTCCTATTAAGGTGACTTGGTCTTAATACCTGGTGGTAGGGCAAGAAGGTAGCAGTACTAGTGACGATGATGGTAATAACAGACAGACATTTAATAATTTACATTATACCATTTCCGGCTGTATAAATACAAATGATGGTCAGGTCAGGAATTCTAAACATTTTTTCAGATACCACATCATTAATAAACATAACATTCTCCCACCAGCCACAACTATCACTACATAATTAGATGCCCTGATTTTCAAATGGGTTGGTGGATAAATATGCCCTCCCATACTGAGAACCACTGGTTTAAATGATAGAAAAAGGAAGCTTGGAGAACTAAAAATTGGCTATGGTCCTATAAGCTCTATCTAGTAAGAAAGGGACATGGCCCATAAACTGGAGTTCACTGTTCCCTAAAAGGTACCCTGAAGCAGGTTAACCCCAAGTATAAAATATAGACAATTAATTATGCCTGTTCTGATTTCCAGGCTCACCAGGAATACTTTCATGACAATGTGGCTTCACATGCAGAGCTGCCTGCAGAAAAGCAACATGCTAGTCACACTACAATATGAACAATATCAGGAGCTCTGTTTGTTCTCCTGATACACCCAAAACACCCAGAATGGTGCTGGATACATAGAAGGTTCTCAATAAATACTTGTCTCACTGAAAGTTTGAATGATAGGAGCAATCTGCCCCTGTGACAGAACACTTCTCCATATTTTATTAGTAACCTCGCATTCTGGTTTACAGCAGTCTTTATGAGCTCAGTTAACTTGAGTCTGTGCTTGAGAGATAGATCCATTGTCACTATACAATCTCAAAATTAAATTTTGGGGCTTGTAAAGCTCAAACTATGGAATATTCACCAGGGAAACTTTTGTGAGGCTTGCTTATCTATTTATTTATTTGTTTGTTTATTTATCAGATAAACAGCTCTGCTTCCTGTGTGCCAGGTACTTGTTCTAAGTATTTTATAAACAACTTAGTTCTCACAATTATCCTATGAGTTTGATACTATAATTACTCCTTTTTTTAATATAAAGAAATCGGGGCACAGAGAGGTTAAGCAATTCACCCAAGGTGCTAGTGAGTGGCAGAGCTGAGATTTGAACTAGGACAGTCTAGCTCGAGAGTATATGCTTTCAACCCACTATATTATGCCATTTCCCACCAGCCAGCTCATCTTGGCCTAGTGACACTCAGCAAATTTTCCTTGCAAAACTTTAATATCATGTACCTCAAATGTACTTTTGGTCACACCAGTGAGCCCAAAGTACATCATGCCTCTTGTTCTGGAGCTGACACAGATTTCTCCAATCTCATCTGTTTTGCAGAGCTGGGGAGGTCCTTCGGGTCTCACAATGCACATCATCCCTGGTGAACAAAAAGTTCAGTTAAGACACAGAGATCCTGGAAAACCTTTGCTTCATTCATCCTTGCAAGCCCAGGACAGTTTGGTATTTACTGAGTGGCATCAAGTAAGGATACCAGGAAAGAATGTTAAAAACAGACCTGAAACTACACAGGTATATCTGAAATTTCCATCTTTTAACCCTGATAATAAATTACTTTTTTAACTTAGCCAAAAAAAAAAAAATCCATACAACAGCAGACCAAAGCTTTTAAAGACACTGATATTAAAAACGACTGCAAAGTCCAAAGAAACAGGCTGAGTTAATTGACCCCCAAGCAGAGCAGATCCAGCAGTGAGCTGGGCAGGTGCAGCTCACTCCCGCATGGAAGCAGCGTGCTCTTTTCTCTCAGCCTCACGGCTGGCAGTTGCAGCCAGGGCCAGACAACTTTACTGCCACTCAGTACCTCACTTTCCATGTGAACAGCTGTAATTAGCATTCACAACTGAATCATACAATACTGCTGGAAGTAAGTGTGATTAGAATTACTCAGCTGTTAAGAGGCTTTGAGAAATAAGTGACTAAGTACTAATTTTAGATTCATGGCTTTGGATCCTTTATTTTTATCAGTCTCCACTATCAATAATGACAAATCTTTTTGGAAAAAATAAATAGTGCTCCTGAGAACTCACCACCAGGCATTACATGTCCTACATCCTGGACTGTTAGTGCTGAATTTTTATCTTCAGTATTGACCCGTATTACCCCATAGCTCAATCCGTTCATTGAGAGAATGGCTCTTCCTGGCAAAGGGGCCCCTGGGACTCCAGGCCTGAGAACGAAATGAACTCATCAAATTTGGCAGATGAACTATCAAGAGAAAAATATGAGTATGTAGGAAAGCAAATTTCCTCTTGCTAACACACACACACACACACACACACACACACTTTATTTTCTCTACCCAAAACATACCAAATTAACCAGTCACATGTACAAAGCATGATCAAGTTTCACCCCAGTGGAAAACATACATTTTAATCAACTGTTAAGAATATATTGGTCTTGGGTATGCTATATATGTTCTTTGCCTACTTAAGATACAGTCAAGAATAGCTTATTTCTAGTCTAAGATGCCAAGGAATTTGAAGACAAAACAATACAGAAAAAGAACTAATTCACAAAAATGAGATGAGAATAATTAAAATTTCAGTTTACCAGTTACTCTTAGTGTAAGAGAGGGAGAAATAAGTGAGATGATTCCAACTGATTCACAAAGTCACTTCCACTTTCAGGCTTAAGAAGCAGAAAATTAGCTAACCCCCCTGCCAGTGACTAGAAAGTACTGCGAATTTGATCAAAGCTGTAACACTCGGCAAGAGCACCAACGTTCTGCACGATACCTGCGGATCGCCACAGTCATGGCTTCAGCAGAAGTGGCACAGGGACAGATGGCCTCAGGTTTCAGTCCATGGCTCTGGAACAGACTCAGGAAAGCATCGCAGGATGACACGGACCCTAGGAGGAGTTGGAACAGATCAACTTAAAAACTGAAATTGTGATTTTCTTTACTGCAGGAAACTAGTAAAGAGCAGAAAGCCAATGCATTGGTTTCTCACGAGAACTCTCATTGTATTGGGTTGGGCAAAAAGTTCATTTGGTTTTTTTCTGTATGATGGCTCTAGTAGCGCTTAGCTGTCTTTAATGTCATTCAAAACAATTGTAACAATGTACTGTGACAGCTGCCATAGTAGCATGCATTTAAAAAAAACTAATCAAAATGGGAGAGTTTTTGTGTAGCCATTTTAATATTGAAGATGAAAAAAAATACGCATTTTCAGCATACTATGTTTTATTATTTCAAGGTAGAAATGCAACCAAAATTCAAAAAAAAAAAAAAGATTTGTACAGTATATGGAGAAGGTGCTGTGACTGATCAAAGGTGTCAAAAGTGGTTTGTGAAGTTCTAGAGATTTCATGCTGGATGATGCTTCAAGGTCAGGCAGACCAGATGAAGTTGACAGCAATCAAATACAGACATTAATTGAGAACAATCAACGTTATACCACACGGGAGATAGCCAACATACTCAAAATATATGAACCAATAAAGTTATTGGTGAAACTGAAAAATGTGTCTTTTGTGTTACAGAAAAAACCATATGGACTTTTTGGCCAACCCAGTATATCATTAATCCCATCTAAATATTTTACTGTGCCTGTAAGATGGCTGGTACATTTCCAGGACAAATGAATTCTCATCCACCCAGAAAAGATCATGGACACTGTTTAAAGCTAAAACTTGGCATAAAGCTGCTTCTACCAAACTTCCCAATCAATGGCAGAGATGCAGAGTTGCGCTGTGGCCAGTTTGGAACTGAGCGAGTAGCTCTCCCTGAAGTAACTATTTTAGCCAGTACAGTACTAACACTCTGGCTAGTGCCACCTTTTTTCTGATATTCTCTGATTTGTTTCTTATTAAGGTCATTCCCATGGCTGTGTTTTATTATACCAGGACGATTAAGGTGACTAATCCATATGACAAAGAATACAGTACCTAACATTTCACCCGATTCTGCTATGTGGAAGCTCAGGATGCCTGTGCTTGTGGGGGCAAGTATCGGAAATAGCAGATCTCTAAAAGCTTTTGCAAATTTGATTTCCTGCTAGGGACAATTTACATAAAGCCCAGATACTTGGTTACATCAAGTCACCTTCTTATCTTTCCTTTTAGTTATAGGATAGAAAAAGGATATACATGAGTGAACAAGAAGGACTGGTTCTAAAAGAGTATGGATCCAACAGATGATGAACAGATAAAATGTGGTCCATGTATAAAATGAAATATTATATGGCAATATAAAGGGACAGAGTATGTACACATACTACAATGTGGATGAACCTTTAAAACATTATGCTAAGTGAAAGAAGCCCAATGCTAAAGACTTAACATAGTATAATTGCATTTATATCAAATGTCCAGAATAGGTAACTCTCAAAGATAAAAAGTAGAAGAGCGGTTGCCTAGGAGTAAGGGCAGTGGGGGAGAAATGGCGACTGACTACTAATGGGTATGACATTTCCTTCTGGGGTGATGACGTTCTAAACTGAGACCATGGTGACGGCTGCAAGGCTCTGTGAATCCACTGAAACTGTTAAACTGTACACTTTAAATGGGTGAGTTTCACAGCATGTGAACTACATCTCAGTACAAATGTTAGGGAGAGAACAGTCCCGGACCCACACCCTAGAAGTACTCACAGGGATTAGCTCCATCAGTCACAATTAACATCCGGAGAGAACTCAAGCTCACATCTCTCTGGTCCCGATGTGCCATCATAGCCCAGTGCAAGTCTCGACATTTTACTAAAGCTACTTTGGCTACAATTTCAAAAGCAATAAAGTTAACACACACATACAGGCTAAGTTTGGTAGATATTTAATATACTATAATAAAACTTTTACTTATTTTAAGGATCATGATTATCACTTAGAGAAAATAAAAAAGGTTTCAAAGAAATTATGCCAGGCACTCCGAGGCTGCAGCGACCACATGGACACAGGCTGTTTTGCTCACTGTGACCTGTGGGCAGGCCATGTATCTCTACCAAGGAAGCTCTGAATCCCCAAGCACTCAGTAAACCTGGCTCAAGGCTCAAATTCAGGCAAATTCATCTCAGCTCCTAAGAAGGGATGTCACGTGAGATGGAGCAGACAACACACCCGGCTTCAGCAACTGAACTCTAGCGTTTGTCAGGCCACCGAGGCACAGAGCCACGTCTCCAGAAGAACATTTGAAAACCCCTGGAATCTTAGTCCAAACAGCCACATCATTAGAGCCTAGGTGCTGTGTGTAACTACCTTTGTGGGCATGTACTCTCTGGACCCAAGAGAGAGGGCAGGTCTTCATAACAGAGTAGGGCACACTGATTGTATGCATCTTACTCATTATGTTCTGAAAAGCAAAGAAAGATAAAAAGTAATCAATATTGAATACACACAGAGCATTTTAAAACTGATCTGATATTTTGTTAACATTTTTAATCATACATGTAATAAATATTCAAATACATGCTCTTTGAAGAAAATCTGAAATATTAACTATAAGGTTGAAGTCTCCTTTGCTATCTACCCTTAAACCCAGTCAGTCCCTTCCTCTCTTCCTCAGATACTATCATTATTCTGAACCTGGCATGCAGCCTTCCTTTTTCTATGTATTTACATATGTATTTGTCTCCATGGAAACAATGTATTGTTAATATAAAAGGCATCATACTATACATATATCTGCAATGTACTTTTTTCATTTAAATTATTTGAGAGATAAATCTATGGACATCAGCATAAGTTCTACACAATTCTTTTTGAACTGCAGCATATATTCCACAGTATGACTACACCAGTGTATTCAGGCATTTCCCTATTACTGACATTCTTTTGCTATTACAATGTTTCAAGGAGCATTTATATTGCCCCTGCTGTGTGTACAAGTGTTACTCGAAGGTAAAGACAGAAAAGAGGTACTACTGAGTCAAAGGACATATGCCTTACAAATCTAACAGACACTGCCATACTGCCCCCCACCCCAGAGTGTGCTCAGCATGACCGGGCTTCCCACACACCACAGAGGGCTGGGTGCTACAAAACAAGAAATCAAAGTCTCCTCGTCACCTATAGGAGGGCCTGCCCAGATCTGCTGGGTATTTGAGGAGATAAAGCTCAGTGAGCTGAGAGGGTCATGCAATTTGGTGTCTCCTGCCACCCAAATGAATGAATACGCCCAGGACCTCCTGTCTCCAAAAAGACCCAGCCTGGCAGAATAATTAAGTCTTGATATTTAGGCTGGCCATTTTTCTCACCATTGAAATGGCCCAAAGAAACCAAGATACCATTGCTAACTTCTTTTTTCTCCCTCCCCTAAGTTTCTAGCTATAGTGACAAACTTTTGGATTTCGGGGAAAGAATGGTGTTTATAACTAATTGTCCCTCTAATAAATACCTTGCAAGGTTTTTCTTAACCTCTGATAAAAAAACAAAATGGGGAGGACTTCAGAAAGGAGCCAGGAAGTACGTACTCAGGAAACAGGCTCTTCCTAATTTGCGGGTCCCTGAGTGAGCAGGGACCCTCCTCCTCTCGCCCCAGGCTTCATTTCCTTCTACTCTTTCTCAGACTCCTGCAATGTGTGAGGAAGTAGAACAAGATACTCCCAAAGTTCTCTGCAACTCTAGGATCCTGTCTTTCTTCTCTCTTCCCTCATCACCAAGCTACATATGGCAGTTTTTCCTATTTGAAATGTCCCCTCTCTCTACTTCCAACACAAAAATAATCTCTATACGGCTAAATCTTACCTTTTAGAGAGAGAAAGAGAGAGAGAGAGAAACATCAATCGGTTGCCTCTGGTATGCGCCCCAACCAGGGATCAAACCCACAACCTAGGTATGTGTCCTGACCAAGAACTGAACCTGCAACCTTTTGGTGCACAGGACAATGTGCTAACAACTGAGCCACACGGCCAGGACATTACCCGTTTTTCAAAGTCCAACCCAACCATAAATAGGGCCTTGACACTACAGCTGGGAGGAACTCAACCTTTCTCTAACCCTCGTAGCACGTTTCCTGTTCCTCGACTGTGAAAAGCAGCCTGACCTACCCTCTACTCTGTTCTTCAGCTGCAGCACACAGTCATCCATTGGAAAAGTTCAGTATTATTACCCACGGCTGTCCAAGTTCTAAATATATTTCTGTAGTCCTTTCTTCAGAAAGGAGATGACATGCATCTCAAACATATTTTTTTTAAATCACAAATAAATAAAGCCATTTGTAGAATCTTTTAGGCTCTGAGCCATCATAGCAGATGCTTTAAAAATTATAGATCCTAAATTTTCCTATATATTATTATGTGAGGAGTATGCCCAACCACACAGTGAAGAAAAAAATTACATTCTCCTTTTAGAAAAATTACCATTTTTATTACAAAATAAAATTCTTCTGGAAAATAGTATTGATCTTTTGGAGGCTTAAATTTCAGACAAGCACAGGGAGATGATCTGGTTACCCAGCACCCACACTGACCCGAATCCTAAGACTCACACTCAAGGCCTTAATTCAGAATGGCTTACCGCAAACATGCCATGCCACAGCCCGGCATCCTTCTTAAAGTCTAAAACATTTACTACGGTTTCTCCTAAAAGAGAAAAAAACGGGGGAAAATAAGGAAATCATCTTTAGTGTGAAGTAGCAAAATCATGTTACTTGCCTATTAAAGAGCTGATCTGGTGGTTTTAAAGAGGTCACTGAAAGCCCTGGGTCTTCTGATTACTTGAGGGTCCCCTCACATGGTCTGGGGGACTGATCATAGTGACATGGCCACAGAAGAGACAATGAGTCCCAAACTTCTTATAACTTAGATACTATCTTCTGAGGGGTAGTACTTTCCCCCTAATTATTTGGAAGTTCCACACCCATGTAAAATTGTAATTCCTAGAGAAAAAAATGTTGGTATGTATTACACACACACACACACACACACACACACACACACACACACACACTTCTAAGCACCCTGCAGAATACATTTTTGTGTTTTGATCTGTGCTTTCTGGAAGCTGAATTTCTTTGACTCCAACTCCAAAGGTGCAGCTGGTGGCAGCTCTGCACACACTGGAAGACGGAGCTACCTGACCGTCTGCAGCTAATAATAAACACATGGTTTTAATTAGTTTTCCATTTCTGCACTCTAGAAATCATACTTCACATACTTGGTGTGCCTAGTATTTTAGTTCCTTTAAATTGCAGCATATTTGTGAAAAAGAAGAAAGCAAAAGCAAGCCAAGAATGTATCTTAAAACATTTCACTCTGGGAAATAAAAAACAAAGACAAAACATTTCCCTCTGAATTTGGACATTAACTGGAACCCAGTCACTGAGCACCCTGCATGGAGTTGCACATATCCGGGGCTCACGATGAGGGCGGTTATGGGGCCAAGTCTGACCTTCAGAGTAATTGCAGGCCTGGGACAGCGCTTGGCAGTGGGACAGCATTGCGAGGCGGGACACTGTAACTCCCATCACACTCCCTTCTTTGCTTGTTTTATACTAGAAATAAAACACAAGAAACACAATAAAATGGATTATTTCAAACGACAAAACCAGAGCCCTAAAACAAAACGATAAAGTGACGACAATGAGCTTAGTTTAACATGAATATTTGAGGCCGAGACCTTGGGCCTCCAACTCCGATACCCCAAAGGCAGGATTGGAGAAACACAAACCTCAACAAAAGTATGTGTGAAAAAATTCTTCAAAGTTTAACTGGTCATCAGCATGAAGCAGCTGTTCGAGAAGTAAAACAAACAAGAGGCTTGAGCTGTATCTACAGAAGCACAGTGTCAAGGGCAGGGCACACATGGCACTGCGGGGGTGATGGTGCAGTGTGAGAGTCCTGGTCTCTGTCAGGAGCTCCCAGTTTGGGCGGGGGAGACCTAGAAATGGCCTATTCACTCCTAAAAAAAAAAATCAATCAACTATACTTTTGCTCTTATATCAGTGCTCCACTTAAGCTGCTTTTTGTTTGCTTGTTTGTTTTACCAAGATCAGCAACTTTTTGATCGTTAAGTAAAAGGATGTATAATTTATCAGAAGTTTTGTAATATTTGACATTTCCTTGGCTTTTATGATACTTCTCTCTCCTATTCATATTCTCTCACTCTCTCCCCTCCTTTTCTTCTTCCTTGGCATTTATGATACGTTCCTCTCCTATTCACACTCTCTTGCTCTTTCCTCTCCATTTTCTCTATCCCCTAAATGTTCGCGTTCCCTGAAAGTTCTCTTCATTTCACTTTATTCAGTGTACCATATTCCTTAAGACTCCTTATTTTCCAGACCTCTCTCCAGAGATCCAGACGCACAGAATCAATTGTTCCCTTGAATAACCCATAGTCCTGTCAAACTCAGTGGATCCAACACTATATTCTTTATCCCCACTCCTCACCCAGGAAAACAACTCTTGCTATATTTTCTATCTTAGTAAAGAAGACCACCATCTACCCAGTTGCCCAAGGCAGAAACTCGAGTCTGTTTTGCCTCATCCCCATCCAGAGTCAGTCACTAAGTCCTGCCACTTCTGCTTCCTCCTGTCTCTCAACCACTGACACATCCACACTTCTCTGCCCCCATCGCCATGACCTTGAGCTCACCTGGTAACTGTAAAAGCTGGTCTCCCTGTTTCCTTAGTAATACAACCCAACCACATAAATCTTTTAACAAATTTATTATTGCTTTCCTGCTGATAACCCTTTAATAGCTCCCTATTACCCACAGGATAATGTAAACTCACAGCAATGTACTATGGATAATGAGGGTCCCAAGTGAAAACTGCCAGTTAGTTCGAAATAGAACAAGCCTAGGAATGTAGAAGGCGGTAGTTCTGCCCGTGGCCAGAGAGTTAAGCAGGGCCCTTTGCATGCTAGGAAGAACCAATAAAGATGCAAAAGCAGCAGTCAGTGAGGCAGAACTGAGAAAGTGTCAGGGAAGCCAGTGAACAGTTGTAAGGAAAAGGAGTGAAGAACCACTGAATCACAGAGATGACGGGGATTAGGAGTTGATCACTAAATTTGGTATTTAATCGCCTGCTTGCTTATCTGTTGTTTAAACATACCCAGATCTCTTCCAACTTTAAAAACCACCATCCTTGTATCCAATGTTACCATGTCGTCTCTCAATACTGTCCACTCTCTTCCTTTTCATGGCCAGTTATTACCATACGGCTGAAGGTTAGGTGGATTTTTCCCCAAAACCTTTTTTTTTTAAATTATTGATTTGTTTATTCACTAATTTAGCAAACAGTTGGTGAGCATTTACAGGTGAAAAAGTAGTCAAGGGCACAGCTTTCAGTGTGAAGCAGATGTGAGTCTGAGTCCCAGCTCTGCCGTGTGTGAGTCATCTGAGCTTTGATTGGCTACTCAAGTTTGTTAAGTCTCAGTCTCCTCACGTGCAGAGCAGGTTTAGTACTAGCTCCTGCCTGAGAAAGAGGGGACTTGATAGGGATGACTGAAATACTGTATTTCAAGTGCTTAGCCCTGGCTAGTGTGGCTCAGCAGATTGAGTACAAGCCTGAGAACCAAAGGGTCACTGGCTCGAATCCCAGTCGGAGCACATGCCTAGGTTGTGGGCTAGGTGCTCTAGTAGGGGGCGTGTGAGAGGCAACCACACATTGATGTTTCTCTCCGCTCTCTCCCTTCCCCTCTCTAAAAATACATAAATAAAATCCTTTTTAAAAAATAAAGCACTTAACCTGGTGTCTGGTAAGCAGTAAGGCTTAATTATCCCTCAAATGGAACATGATATCAATCAATCAAGTTCCTACACTAATCTTCAACACCATTTGTTTCTTCCTGCTCTTTACTGTTTATCTGTTAAATTTGTTCTCTTAAAGCACAGCTATTTTTCCTCCTCATTTCTTCAGTCTCTTGCATCCCACCTCCTAGCCCCCAAGCAGCAGAAAAATAACTGGGCCAATTTCTCTGCCTGTAAATCATTTCTTAAACCTTTGTACTTCTCCAAGTCTTTCCCTTGAATGTGTAAGTATGTTAAAAATAATTAGAATAGAAAGCCAATACAAGACATTTTATAAGCAAAGGATGGAAATCTAACAAACTAGGAGACTCTTCTAATATTAAAACTGCAAAAAATTAGTTTTAAATTTTGTAAGACAGCAAAAAACAAAACAAAACAAAATTTGTAAGATAGCATCTGAAGCCAAAGAGAAAGCCAGAATGTATGTTCCAGTCTCAGGCCCTACCTCAATGTATGCTGGTTCACTGCCAGCCGGCGAGATGTGGGGCTGCCAGTCTTTCGGAGGCTTGGAAAGGTACTTGGAATCGGTTACAACCCATTTGAGCCGGGGCCAACCTAAATCAAACCCAAAATAAAAACTGAATTGCCTAAGCCATAGGGAAGGAATTCACATCAAACTAGTCATTTTAAACAACAACAGACTAAAACAAGGTCATTTTATAATTAGTAAAATACTTTTTAGTGATAAATAGTATCGTTTTTAGTGATAAATCATTAGACATTTATACCTTCTTTCAAAAGTACAATGGTTCCACATGCTAATTCCAGACCTTGACATTACCTCAACAGCTGGAAGGTCCATTTGGCAGTGGAAGTCCACTGAGGTTAGTGATCTATCCTCTGTCTCTACATGTAGCATTTAGCTTTAATGAACAGAGTGGTAGTTTTTTCCAACCATCAGCATAAAGGTTAAGGGTGTGGGCTGTGGAATCAGACAGATTTGGGTTCAAATCGCTGCTCTGCCATTTATTAGCTGTGACTTTGGACAAGTTACTTAACCTCTGTGTCTCAATTTCCTCACCCGTAAAATGGGGATAATAATGGTACCTACTTCATAAGATTGTGAGAATAAGAAGATATATTTTAAGTACTTAACTATTACTAAATTCAAACACTAATTAAAGCACTCTGCTTTAACGTTTAACTGATAATTCAGGTACAAATATTACTAACCTTTAAACTGTACAATCTCTCCATTCTGTGTTTTTGGCAGCCCCTTTAGACAAACTTCACTGGTAAGAGCTAAGGCAATACCACAGCTTCCTAGCAAGAAGCCAATCTGCTGCCCTCCAGCATCCTGCGGAGAAAAGATAACAAGCACCATAGGGGAGTGAATGCGAGCACACCCATGCCCCAAATCTAACACTTAGTAATGCTCTGGCACTTGTGTGATAACATTCATGGAACCTCACTGAGAACTAGCCTCTTGAAATCTAGTGACAATATGTTCTTCCAAATAATTTCTACCATATGATGATTTCCTGAGGGCAAATGTTTTATTAATCTGACATTGCTAATGATGAATTCTACTAGCCAAATGTGACCATTTTTGTCAAAGGTTGACAATGCTCCTCTTTTTGATTAAATTCAAGCAAGTAAAATAAATGCTAACATGGTTAAGTTGTCTTGACCTAGCCACACCCTCAAATCCAAAAGCAAAGCAAGTCAGGTCAGAATAAAATAAATAATGTGAATGAACATCAAATGTCCACATTTAGGATGAAAGTGAATGTTATACCTGAATTCATATACTCATTATTATTATTATATTTTAAAAGTGCATTTGAACTTCACGACAACAGCAAACAACAAAAGACAGAGTCTGAAGAGTTCCATAAAATGTCATCTTAAAAATATCATTATGAAATCATACAACACTGTCAACTTAACAAAGGAGCAACCCTAGGATTTTCAGAACAATCTAAAGATATGGTATCCCATTGACCAGAGTTCCAGAGATGTTATCATTTTATCTTTTATTCCTTTAAGGAACCAATTTTGACAAAAAAAAAAAAGTAATTTTTTTCCTTGTAAATCCACCATCTCCACCATATTTGTCTTTATCATCAACTCTCAATAATAAACAGTATGAGAAAATTAAGGTCAAATAGCTCGTGGAGAAATCATTCAGTTAAACTTGAAAATTTGCTACACCTGCTGCATTTGAGCAGGGCTGATGCATGACCACAATAAAATCCCGTACCCCAAAGCAGTAACATGCCAGTGCTGCATCACCCTGGACTAATGGAAATCCTAAATAGGAAGATACAATTAAACCAAACCCCTTTACAAAAGGCCTTACCTATTGTAAATGTAAACTATCTGTAGTCACTGAAGCAAGGGTGGTACTCTTTATAAATGATAATTGTTAAAAAGTCAAGTATGCCCCCATGACTTTTAAGTGATATATAATACTACAAATATTCTATCTCTCTTGAAAACATGTGATTTGCATGAAAGTTATGAATATTAGTAAGTAACTTTTCCACAGTGTTCATGTTTTCAGCAAGTGAAGCTGAGTACTTAAGAAAGCAGGATGCTTCTAACATGGTGACAAAGCCAACTGATGCGAGAACCCAATGCACGCCACGCCACAACAGGCCACGTTCTTCTTCGAGTTAGCAGGGTTACCTTTCTGGTAAGAGGTACCTCTATAGGCACTGGAATCACTTCTGCCAGCAGACAGCCATAGAAAGCCACCATGAACATGACTGGATCATTGTTGGGATAAACCAGGGCTACCTAAAATGCACGATGATGTTTAGTAATGGGAATAAAAACAGACTAACACTTTCAATGTCACTCTGTGAGATATACATTTACATACAAAACATCTATCATGAATAAAACAAATCAAAGTATTTAATAGTCTAAAGGAAGTTAAGTTATTGAGAAGGATGCACAAATCTAAAAAGACCTCTTATCTTTCCTATGATTATAGGAGATACAGTTTGGGAACTATAATGCAATTCATCATCATCTGAAGAATTTTTCTCCTAATTTGATTAGTGATTTACCAGTAAACACCTCACCTTAAGTAATAAGTTAATTGCTATGAAACCTAAGGCAATTTACTTTGGTTCGGGGCTGCAGCAATAAAATAAATGTAGTGGATGGCTCTAGATAGAGCACCACATTAAAGAATAAGCCTTATTCCTCGACAGACAACCTACAAGGGTTGAGTGACTCAATTACCACCTTAGGGCCAGCCTAAGATTTCTTACTCTTTATCAAGTTCATTGCATTAATCGTTACTGAAGCAACAATGCACATATTCTAGCATGAAAGGCATACAGTAATAGGTATAAGCAATACTGGCAAAAATCATTACGGATATGAAGTTAATTCACTTACAAAAGATAAACAGTAAAACTTCTGTATGTTTAAACCTGTGATACTACCTGTAATATTTCACAGGAAAACCAACTCTTCCTAATCTCCTCAAAACACTACCATTGTGGAGTTTAGTTACTTGGCTTAGATATTTATAAATTATCATCTGAAACTTAATTATGTCACTGGACTCTTGCTTACCCTTCTTTTGCTTTCAAACTCTCTAAACTTACTCCCAAGATAAGTTCAATTCTGTTTTTTTTTCTTATATTAAAATTTCATTATTTTATTTTTTTGGTAAATTCAATTCCGAACCTTTGAGAGTTCTAAAGAAAATACAAACTCCACAAGACATTTAAACCCATTTCCTTTGTGCACCCAAATGTCAGTACTGCTAGGAAAACACAGAAGCACTTCCTCGGGGTGCAGCGAGGACTAGGGACACTCACGGGCTGCACTGGGAGTGGTACCCACCCTTCAATTACAATGCAAACATATTCTTAAAGGGGATTCTATCATCATGAGCCTCCAAAAAGGAAGTCCGTTGTATAGGTGGTGTTTCACTCTATAAATTCCAAATGGAAAGTAATATTTGATGGTAAGAAGTAATCATATTTAGAAAGTTACTAATAGGGGCCCTGGCCAGGTAGCTCAGTTTGTTGGGGCATCATCCCGATACACCAGGGTTGTGGGCTCAATCCCCAGTCAGGGCATGTGCAAGAATCAATGAAATGCATAGATAAGTGGAAAAACAAATCAATGTTTTCCTACTCTCTCTCTCTAAAATCAATAAAAAATAAAATAAAGTTATTAATAGAAAAAAACCTTCAAAAATTAAAATTAAAGTCATCTCCAATTAAAGATAAAATTAAATGTTGTCAATTTGTTTCTTCATGGAAGTAGTGTGAATCTCCCTCCCTTTCTACACAAAACCACAAAAAATGTATTAAAACATTTTATGGGACATCTTTTAAAGACAGAAAATCAAAGTAAACTTTATTGCTATTTTTGTTGTCTGAATGTTGAAATATTTACTTCCAGAAAGACTTAGGTTTCCCTACTTTTTATTACCACCTCAACGGATTACGGACTAAGCTGCTACAGAAAGGGACATCCAAATTTTTTTCAATTGCTAAATGCAAGAATTATCACCTGGTATTGGACCAACCTGGGTTGGAACCAAACCATTTTCATTTTCTAAGAATAAAAATTATAGAAATTGTGCTGTTGTACATTAAAACCCCAGAATGCACATGTTAGAAAGCAATAAAACATCACCTCCCTAAAACCAAAAGTCCAATTACCCTGTCTCCAGGTTTTAATACAGGTTCATTTTTGGTCCCCAGTTTATTAAGCAGTGTGTAGGCCAACTTTAAACTTCTGCTCCACAACTTTCCTGGAGAAAGAAAAGAAAATAGTCATAGAGAAAACCACTGGCCTAGCTCAGCAAGAGGGGATTCAGTCCCCAAGCACATTTACCTAATACAACAATGGCTACTTCCAAATGACACATCCCACAAGTACTGTCCCCAACAAACAGTCCCTCCCCCACAAAAATGTTTTATATTCGCTCTAGTTTATGGAAAGTCAATACTGCCTCCAAACAAAAAGAAAACATCACCAGAAGTTCATTCTGGTTTGGGTAAGTTTTCAAATTCTTTTCTGAAGTAAACTAATCTTTAGAAATGGTTTGATGTGAGCCGATCACATTTAAAAGGAAGGAAAAATTTGTTTATTATAAGACTGAAATCAGAAGACTATATCATTTTAAGTTTTTTCTGAAGGACCGTTTACATATATGGTATTGGATACTTAAAGTAACTGCAAAGCAAAAGTGTTACTCAAATAATTAAGCATTCCATACCACTGTTATTTCAGTAAAATCAGACAATAAAATGGAAATTAACTATGTGAAATGTGGATATATTCAAAGATGTTACATAAACATATAGAGATGTGGCCAGCTAACTGCTTTCTTTAAAGGTTATATGGAAGAAATTAATACACAACTTCTAAAATGAATGCCAACAACTACACAGGGGGTAGAAAGCCTCTTCTTACTCTGTACATGCTGCCTTCCTTCAACCACTCCTAGAAATTCTTATTTTAGATTATTAAACAAATAAGGAAAATCATGCAATTTTCAATAGATAACACTACATAGAACACATTAAGAGGGGTACCTAAGGTTTAAACCCATGTCAATTTGCACAATTTTTAAAATAAAAACAATTTTCCCTCTCAAATTATTCTGTATCTAGGTCTATGGACAATGTGTTACACTTGTGAAGGGAAAAAGGAATCTGTGAACAGACTAGTACAAAATCTCACAGCCCAGGTTAAATCCATTCTTCTTGTTACTTAAAGAAAGTTATTTTTTAAGAATTCATAAAAGAAAAATAAGTTACTTAAGAAAGTATTTACAAAAGTAAAATAAAAACTTTAGCCAAGATGCAAAATTAAATGGAAAAGCACAGATTTTTTTATTATAAAATTCTGTACTTATCACAAGATGACAAAGTAAATGACAAAGATCCAAAAAGTAGTCAGTTTCAATTTTGGGATAAAATTATACGTTTTTTACCACTAATCCTGCCCAAAGGTCTTCCTAAAATCCTCTCCTAATGTTAAAACATCAGAGGATGTACAAAGTCCTTCTTCTTTTTGCTCTTTTAAACATAAGCTGGCTTGCAAATGTCACGTTAGCAAATGAAATATTCAGCAATAGCTGTGCTTAGATCTTAGGATCCTATGAAAATAAAAGACCTACACAGTAAGTGCTAACTACCAAGATAAAAACACCACCCATGATCATCTGAAGAATTATTAAGACAAAAGGCAGGAGCTGGAACCTGGAAAACGCACCATACGTGAGAGTGTACACTGGCTTTCCGGTCACATCCAGCGCAGTCAGACAGGGGCACTTCGCCTGAGTGGTGCCCCAGCGCTGCAGGGCGGACTCAAGAGCAGGCGGCCAGTTACAGATGACGCCTAAGGGCTCTCCCTTCACAGGAGTCATCTGCCGTCCCTCAGGCTTCGGCTGGTTGGGGTCTGGCTGAGGTACTGAAACACACAAACAAAACACACCAGTAAGCTGTAAGATCTAAATAGGATGAAAATAAGATCTAAAGTAAGGACAAACACCAACCAACCCAACTTAGGTCACTAATCCCAAACACATTTCCCTTTCCCTTCACTCTGAGAAAAGAACGGACATCACTAGAAGTGGTAATCCATAAACCGGGGCTTAATTCATTTTCCCACATAATTGTGAAATCGTATTTTATGCAACAAGTAAATCCTGACCCTGACAAAGCAAATCACTGAACATAAAGAGAAGCACAAAGTATAAATTTCCTTTTAGCAATTTCACAATTTTTGGTGAACTTGTTTTTAAATCTTTAGTTTGTGTCCAATGTCAGAGTCATCTTCCATTTTACCAGGTTGTGTTCAGTGAAAAAGCACTGACTGTGAGTCAGGAAACCTTAGGCAAATTGAGTTACTAGAGTCTTGCTTTTCCTCATCTGTAAAATGGGAACAGTAACAATTATACCACAGGGTCAGTATTAGACTCCAACCGGTAATGGGCACGAATGTTCCCTCCACGCCTCTGTACCCTGCACATGTCCCATTTGGCCAATCCCTTTGCCTTCTGGTGAACTCGTACTCATCTCTCAGAATGCAGCTCAACCAGCACATTCCCTGGGAAGCCACCTCTGGCTGTGGCCTCCTTGGTGCTCCCACACTATGTGGCAGTCCACCTTATTAACACACTGGGGATCCGTAAGGGCTTCTGTTACTGTGCACATTTTTCTCCCCCCCGAGCTTTTTGAGAGAAAGAATGGCTCTTATTCCTCTTATTGCCTATAGAGTCTAATACAAACTGGTTGCTCAATCAATTTGTACTAAATTGAACTGAATTTGGGGGTGATAAAAAAGCTCTAAATTATTAACATAATCATTCCAGAAACTGGAAGTGAATAATATTTCGTATTCCTTCATACAGAAAAAAATTAAGGTCCTCTTAATTTTTTCTGCAATAAACAAGTATTAGTCAAATAGTAAAAGGCAAAAACCTTACATTTTTGCAGCAGGGAAGATAATTTACATATGGAACAAAAAATTCAAATATTTACCGAGTGTCAATTATGTACACGGGATGTAAGTACTGCTTATGAGCATGTCATTCTTTGACAAACATTTATTCTTTCTAATAATGCTAGTGCAAGAAAGAGTCTGTGTCCTCTAGGGATATCTAGAGCACAATGGGGGACACACGCACACAGAGCTAAGTGGACAAGAGCAGTGTGTAACGGACACACACAGAGAGGGCAGGCAGAAGAGAGCCACATCACCCAGCTTAACCGGGTGGGGCCACCACCCAAAGAGGTAATGCCTGAGCTGAGTCTTAAAGGTAAGAAGTAGCTAAGAGAATTCAAGGTGAGAGAAGCAGCGTAGAAGGGACAATGGACAGAATGAGCAACAAGTATTAATTAGATGGGCAACTGAAATGTGAAATAAATTGTACTTTATAACTCAACTTAATGACAGATTAGAGAAGCTCACTAAAATGTCTTGACTCACTTTTCTACTGACATAAAACTAATGAAACAGTTTCACTTCCCAAATCAGTGCCCTAGGTAAATAACAGTTCAGCTGCCCTACTTGGTACATTTCCAAACCCTAAACCACCAAATCAAGTAGAAAAAATGAACATGGGCGATTCTAAATAAATGGTTTTGGTTTTATAAACAGACTGTATATATGGTAGGCACTGTCTTCTGGTCATAAAAGCCTACTTACTGTTGCTATCCACTAGGCCTCAGTGCAGACCCTGGGGCACAGTCTTCCAGGCTTCCTAAGATATATGGGTATCTATTTTCCAATGGCAATCTTACTCAAACAAGATTACCTATTTTGTAACTGTTGCCTATTCATAATTAGTGACAAGTTGCTATTTTGCCAATGAAAACTGTTCCAGTATAATTCCTATTAAATCCTGATCCTCATTTGCCCGGTTAACACACGGTGCTAAAAAGACTGCTGAGACCGTGACTGGCATGAGCACCTTGCGCCATCAGTGCAGCAAGAAAGATCCCTTAGCTCAGGGAGTTCAGCAGCTCCTACGGAAACAAAATTCATCTTAACCTCATGAATCAGGTTGCCAGTTGCTTCCTGCTGCATAAAGTGGGCTAAGACTGGATCTAGTCTAAGTCTACTCACGTGCCTAGTTCCAGTAAAAGGTCCAATGTGATCAAAGCCTACTAATAGTTTCAGGATGTAAAAATGGAGTACAAAGCTATCGAGGGTTAGTTCTTTTGACAAAAGCTTTCATTCCGTAGATGTATTCAATACCTGGCTTGAGTGATCATCAAATGGTCACCCTTGTTTCATCCATGTCCTCACATTATTCCCTCCCAATCCTTCTTAGACATGATTTCATCCATACATTTTTTAAATTACTGAATGAATACATCACTATCACTTCCTCTATGAAGCCTTCCCTAACCACACAGATGGAACTGATTTCTTCCTTTCTCCAACTGACTGTATTAGTTGGTACAAATTTATTGGATAACCTCAATTTTCACATGTATATATTTTTGCACCGGTCTACATTATAAACAACATGAAGGGAGAAGTGACTGTATTTTGATGAACTTTTTTCACTATTTACCTTATCTTATAGAAAGCAGACACACACACACACACGTGCACATGCAAAAGTGTTGACTGGTAACGAAAGGTTTAAGTTATATCAAAAAAGATTGGACAAACTTTTGAGGTTGCATATGATTTCAGCATTCTAGGATAATGCCAAATATAAATAATTTCTAAAATTACATATTTGAGAAAGTTCCAAATTTCAAAAAGTATATTTTCAAGGACAGTTCAATGTTCCATAGTTATCTCTTTGCTTTTCTCCCCCTCCCTCCTTATCTTTCATCTGAGATCAAAAACAGAAACGATCCTTAGGGAAAAAGATCCGAGAACTCTGAACTCTTTTCAACCAGAAACAGGGCCTTGCTCATCCTTAAATGCTACAGTACCTGACCTGTGTATTTGTGTAAAAACTGTCTATGAATTGTACATTTTTGGTACTATTACTACTACCTTCCACAATTTCTTCAGAGTCATCCACAAAAAATTCTTTTAAGGGAGGCCTTTTGGGTCGTTTCAGAGTGTTGAGAAGCTGCTGGATTTTTGTGGATACTCTGCTATTGACAGGAACACCTATAAGAGAAAAACAGTAAGTTAAACTAAACTAATTTGGGGGATATTTTAGTTTATCAGTGCTCTTAGAAAGTTCTATTTCTAATGATTGGCCTTTGCCCACAGTCTGATCCTGTTTCAACTGAGACAAATAGGTACAAATATGTCCATGACAAAAGTTTGACAAGAGAACAAATATAGTGCTATTATTAATCTACTGCTTAAAGATTTAATCAACTCTCCTTTTTAGAGCATTCTTTTCATTTTCTACAGTTGTTTGTTCATATATCTTTTGAAAGTACAGACTAAGTCTGAACAGCGTCAGTGCAGCCACAGTGCAGGCTGCTGAAAAGAAGGCATTCGAGATGACGTGGGTTACTAGATTTCTACCAAAAAGAACTCCCTACCATCAGCTGTGTCCATAAGGCTGGACCTGTTGGATCCTTTGTGCATGCCTTTAACTATCCCCGAGGGGGGCAGGTCAATATTTGCTGGGCGTATTGAGGAAGATGATGATGAAGAAGAGGTAGTTGTAGTGACATCTGGGGGAGCAGAGAAATTCTCTAAGAGGGGAGAAAACAACATTTAGAATTATATTGTATTAGCAGTAAACATAAGAATTTTTATTTTTTATTTATTCTTTGCTTTTTAACATGGAAGAAAATTATGTAAATAGGGCCTAAGCTTTTATAAAACAACCTTTCAAATCAAATTCTACTAGCCAGCTATAATGACAGAGTAAGAGGTAAAGCCAGGGTTTATGAGCTTTCCAAAATTCTTTTTAAAAACTTAAGTAGCCTTAGCAAGATCAAATCCTGTATCATTAAATGTTTCTCAAAAACACTCTTTTCAAACTAGAAAAAATGGTAGAAAACCATTGTTATATAAAAATTAATCATCATAAAATAAAAACTACAAGTAACTTCAAAGTGAAACCAAGTATGATCATATAGCTACTAATATTCTAGTCTGTTGAACATTTCTTCATGTTTATGTTGGTTTATCTGTAACATTTCTTCTTCCACTGAAGACAGGAATGATCCTGGGAATGGTCAGATCACTCAAGTTTCCAAGTGAAGAAAACCAGATAGGTCTACTTCTGATTTTTATAAAATGACCTGTAGGTGACTTGGATCTACTTCACAGACGAGGTTCTTTTCTTCCCTTGCTCTAAGCATGATTAGTGTTATTGTACTCTGCTTCATGTAGGGGTTCTTAATATAAAAAAAACCTGACATATAAATTGAGGGGTTCTTTAATATAGGGAAAATGAATGACATAAATTGGAAGACAGCCATTCAACAGGGATTCAACCAAAAAAACTTAAAGAGGAATACATGTGGAGCAGTAAAAAAAGCAAATGAGAAATAAAATATACAATTCACAAGAATAATGAAAAATCATGCAAAATTTTAAAAAGGAAAAATCATAATATAAACAATTTTCATAATCAATTTGGAAGCGAGGACTCAATGTCCCCAAAGTCTGTAATTACTAGTTTAATCATTTTTACAGCTTTAAATATACTACTAACTAAACGAATAATAAATGTAGTTCTAACACAAGTATATTACAGTATACTGTTTCTGTAGGATACGGTAGTAACAAAGCATTAAAAACAGACATTTTTATTTCACCCAGCAATTCCACCTACAGGAATACATCCTAAGGAAATAGAAGCACAAAGCTGTGTTTAAGAATGTTCACCCCAGCAGTTTTTATAATAGCTAAACAAATGGGTCATATTTAAATGTACAAAATTGGGGAGTGGCTAAATAAACCAGGACATGGCCATAATACAGTGTCATATTTTAAAACCATAAAAACCAATAGTATAACTCTACACTATTAATAATGTAACAGATGTTTGTGATACACCACTAAGAAAAGCAGATTATGAATGTCATGTCTAGTATAATTTCACTTTTGTAAAAAGAAAATCTACATATTTATATGCAAATAAAGTCTAGAAGGATATACAATAAAATGATAACACTAAAGTGTTACCCCCTGGAAAGTGGGTTTACAGATTATTTTATTTTTTATTAGAATCATGAATTACTTCTTTAAACACAAACACCCAAAAGGCAATAATGTTGAGTGAAATGGTTTCTGGGAGTATTTGAACAAATAACTTTATCATTGCAGAATAGAAGAAGAAACAGAAGAATATAAGGTCAGATGAAATCATCTTGGGAACAAAAATTCAGGTAAAGGTGACTGGGTATCAGGACAATATTTTTAACAAGTGAAGTTGTTCCCTTTTAGACCACTGAAAATAAAACCTGAGCCCACCATGGCTGTGTTGCCCACCCTCGCTAACAGAAGGGTGGTGAGCATGCTCACCTGGAGCTGCTTTAGGAGGTTCAGCGAGTCACAGGGCAGAGTGAAGAGTGCAGGACAAAACACTGCCATTGGCACTTGGCTTTTAAATGTGGGCAATCATAACCTCAGGGCAGCTATATTCTTAAAAAATTATTGGGCTGAATTGAAATTTTTCCAAGTTTTTCTTTTCAATTAATAAAATAAAGATATAGGCACACTCTCCCTTCCAAGAGCACAACCTCGACCTTCCCTCTCCCCTCCCTCTTCCCCGAAGGCCTGATACCTTTACTCTTTGCTCTCCTAAGCCCCAAGGGCCCTTTTCTTTTCTCTCTGTAACTTTCTAAATAAACTTTCTCTTACAGTTTGAAAATAAATAAGTAAAATAAATAAATAAATAAATAAATATTGACATAAAAAGGTCATAGATATGAAAATTAAGACCCCAAAATGCAATTGATTGTCAAGAAAAATAGGAAAAGTATAATAGAAATGATGTATATGAACATGAAATGATGTTCATATACATCACTCAGTGCACATACCAACCAATTAAGCAAAAGCAGAGATCTGAGCTATACCTTTATCTGCAGATGCCATGACCTCTTAAAAAAACACATACAAAAACATAAAGCAGAGCCAAGCAAAAGCTACATACACACCACAGAGGTGCCAGCATGTTGCAGCTCACAGAATACCAACATTCTCAGGCTGCACACTCTAGCTGTAGCAGTAACACAGCAGCAAAGACAATAAACCCAGTCTTTATGCTGTACACAAAAGGGCCTCATTGAAATTGTCTTAGTATAGAATTTGCTCAGGTTGAATGTTTTTTGTTTGAGAGAATGTAGACAACAATACTGGGGGGAAAATCCAAAATGTTAATATTTTAACTCATTTGACCAGATGTAACGTTCTTCAACTACAATAAGCCCTTGCTAAGACTGGTGTTATATCTTGCAGCTTGAGTATTGCTTATGGAAACAGCTATGGCTTCAGGTGGGCAAACTATGCACCAAAATGAAGGTGATAACTACCATTTCAAATGTATTGCTGGTGTGTTATTCTCTGCCTCCTTAACTGTCACATTCTTTCTAATTCTACTTTTTGGGCCACTCTGAAAAACCTAATACAAATCATAAACTCTTTCCTGGATACCGGGAGCCAAATGGAACATAACTGGGGCTTCTTGGGGAGATCCAGCTCCTACCTATTCGAGTATTGGCAAATACATCAGCTAGAGACCCACTGGTTCCTTTGACCTCTCCATGGGACAGCGTAGAAGATGCAGATGAAGAAGTGGACGATCCCTGAATTGAACGGTTGATCCAGGACTCAGCATTCTGTAAGCTCTGTTGTAAGGCAGCAGAGAGCGCAGCTTGGCGTCTCAGAGAGCCCTCATCCTCGGAGGCTGAAGACGTGTCTGTGTGAAATTAGAAAAACAGTTGTTCTCGATCCTGCCTAGAACAGAGACCTTTTACTTCTTGGTCATTGATCATACATTCAATTTTGACACCAGCAAAACATTCGCATTCTTAAGGTAAACTATTATGTCAAGCTTCTCCAGAATCACAAGGAAGGTCTATGGACCAAAGCCTGAGAAAACAAAACAATCTAAATCTACAAGGAATTTAAAGTTATTTTTTAAAAACCCTTTTTAGAACATTTAAACTTTATTCACTGTTTTTCTGTTCTGAGTTTAATCAATATCTAAGTTCTCTGACTTATCTTAATTATGTTTAAGTAATTCTGAAGTGCTAGTATATTGTCCTCAATCTCCTAATTAGAGAATTTTGTGACAGGTTGCTGTACTGATTTTGACAAGTGTTTATTAATTAGTGTTTACTTAAAAGGAAATAATCTTGCTGGGGAGGTATAAAAGCTTGTTTTTATTAACAACCACCTACACATCAGTGAGAGGCTGGGGTACTGGTGTGGAGCAAGAAAGAACACTTAGTCTACGGCCACACCACCCTGAACTCGCCTGGTCTAGATGTCATCTGATCTCATCTGAAGCTAGGCAGGGCCGGACCTGGTTAGTAACTGGACGGGAGAAACGATGCTTAGCCTGGAGGCAGTCACGGTTTTAGTGGAAAAGACAGCTGCTCATTTGGCACAGGCAAGCTTTCCAAACACGACAGGAGAGAGCACTGATCGGTATTTCTCTTTCTTCTTAATTCTCAGAGAGGAGTTGTGAGAAATTCACTGATGTCTGTATTTAGCCTGACTCTGACTTCAGGATAATGAGGCCTAAATTTAAAAAGCATGTTGAAAAAAAGAAAAAACAAAAGTTCAACCAAATATAGAATAGCCAAGGGAAGCAGAAGTCAAGGGTTTTTATTCCAGAACTCTCAGCTGACAAGGTACACAAGTTCAGGGGCATTTGATCTGAAGTCAGATGAACCCTTTTAAATGACTTTGGAGGTTATAATTTATGGCCTGTGGATTAAATGTCAGTCATTTTTTAAACATTAAATATTCTATGGTTAGTCCTGCAGAATATTTTCCTATAACTCAGGTGAACCGATAAATCTATAACACTGCTAATACCCATCAATGGAAATTTGAAGTACAAAGAGACTAATTTAAGCTAGAAGCAAGATTCTGCAAATCCAGAGAGAGACTTGCAAGAGAGAAAGTTTGTCCTTGCTTCCTGCTCTGGACTATCTCCAAGTTATTACCTCATAGTGAAGGAGATACGAGGCCTAAGACTGACTTTATGATCGTGGTATCTCCCCTGCCAAGTAGGTATCCAAGACTGACTTAAAAAAATTTTTTTTTACAATGTACTACATAACTAATATATGTCGGGTTCCAGGGACTCTGAGATGTATGAGTTTGTATGAGACAGGAAGGGCCCTAAAAAGGCTTAGAGTCTAATACAGGAGGCACTCAACCCTAGGCTGTTTCACAAGGAATACAACAAATGCTAAGAAACAGGATAAGCAAAGGGTTTTGCTCCAGGGGCACCAATCCCAGCTGGGGTTTCAAGTACTTCTATGTAAAAGGAGCAAAGACTTTCAGGATGTAATGGGGCAATAGATAAGACTGGAGAGGTCAACAGTGACCAGACCCCAAAGGGATAAAGTAATAAGGTTCTTTAAAAGGGAAAGAGATCTACAATGCAACAGGAGGGTGATTAAAGAAAAATATAAAGTAAGAGCACCTGTAACATTTTATGAAAAGTGTTTTTGGACTTCCAGCCAAGATGGAGGTGTAGGTAGGTACACTTTGCCTCCTCACACAACCAAAAGAAGGACAACACATTTAAAAACAAAAAATAACCAGAACTGCCAGAAGATCAAACTGTATAGGAAGTCCAACAACCAAGGAATGAAAGAAGAAACATTCATCCATACTGGTAGGAGGGGTGAAGATGAGCAGCTGGGGGGTGTAGCAGTAACAACTCTTGGCAAGGTGGCGACCAGAGGACGGGGTCGGGGCAGGCAAGGTGACAGCTGGCAGACCAGGCAGTCCCACATCTGCATGCAGATAAACTGGGAGAAAAAACTAGGGAACAAGACAGACCATGCAACCCAGGGTTCCAGTGCAGGGAAATAAAGCCTCAAACCTCTGAGTGAAAACACTGGTTGGGGTTGAGGTGGTGGGAGAAATTCCCAGCTTCACAGGAGAGTTCATTGGAGAGACCCATGGGATCTAGAATGTACACAAACCCACCCACCTGGGAATCAGGACCAGAAGGGCCCAATTTGCTTGTGGGTAGTAGGCGAAGCGACTGAAAGCTGGGAGAGAGCAGAGCAAGCAGCACTGTTTCCTCTTGGACCCCTCCCCCACATACAGTGCCAAAATGAAGTGATGTGGTTGCCCTGCTCTGGTGAACACCTAAGGCCCTGCCCCTTACTACATAACAGGTACGTGGAGACAAAAAAAATATGGGCCGAATGAAAGAACAGATCAAAGCTTCAAAAATAGAACTAAGCAATGAAGAGATAGCCAACCTATCAGATGCAGATAGGTAATTTCAGGATGCTCACAGAAATGGTTGAGTATGGTTGCAAAATAGAGGAAGAAGTGAAGGCTATACAAAGTGAAATCAAGGAAAAGTGACAGGGAGGAAACCGGGACTCAAATCGATTTGGAACAGAAGGAAAAAACAAACATTCAACCAGAACAGAATAAAGAAACAAAGATTAAAAAATATGAGGAGAGGCTTAGGAGCATCCGGGACAACCTTAAACATTCCAACATGCAAATCATAGGGGGGACAGAAGGGGAAAAGGAACAGCAACAGCAACAAATGGAAAACTTATTTGAACAAATAATAAAGGAGAACTTCCCCAATCTGGCAAAGGAAATAGATTTCCAGGAAATCCAGGAAGCTCAGAGAGTCCCAAAGAAGTTGGACCCAAGAAGGAACACACCAAGGCACATCATCATTACATTAGCCAAGATGAAGATGAAGGAGAGAACCTAGAAGCAGCAAGAGATAAGGAGACAATTATCTACAAAGAAGTTCCCATCAGACTGTCAGCTGATTTCTCAAAAGAGACCTTACAGGCAAGTAGGGGCTGGAAAGAAGTATTAGAAGTAATGGAAGGCAAGGATCTAAATTCAAGATTATTCTATCCAGCAAAGCTATCATTTAGAATGGAAGGGCAGATAAAGTGCTTCCCAGACAACGTAAAATTCAAAGAGTTCATTATCACCAAGCCCTTATTATATGAAATGTTAAAGGAATTTATCTAAGAAAAAGAAGATGATCAAAACTATGAACAGTAAAATGACAAAAAACTCACAACTATCAACAACTGAACCTAAAAACAACAAAACCAAAACCAAAACAAACTAAGCAAACAACTAGAACAGGAACAGAATCACAGAAATGGAGAACATATGGAGGGTTATCAGTGGGGAGGGGAGAGGGGAAAATAGGGGAAAGGTACAAGGAATAAGAAGCATAAATGATAGGTAGAAAATAGACAGGGAAAGGTTAAGAATAGTATGGGAAATGGAGAAGCCAAAGAACTTATATGTATAACCTATGGACATGAACTAAGGGAGTGGAAGCTGGTGGAAGGGTGGGTGCATGGTGGAGGGGAATAAAGAGAAGAAAAAAATGGGACAACTGTAACAGCATAATCAATAAAATATATATATTTTTAAAAAACAAAGCATTTTTGCATAATTTCCAGAAAATATTCTAGTATTTCAGTTGTACCAGGGAAGACAAAGATTTCTATCTTTGCAACATGCTAAAGAAAGGCCGGGGGCATGGGACAGGGGCTCTGACTCTAAGAATAAAGTACAGTGATGCCTTGGTACTTGTTAATTCATTCTGGAACTTGTGACAAGTGGCAAAACTGACAAATACCTAGCAAGCAGTGAGTGACGAAGCATTTTCTCTTGCCGGGTGGTAGGCGTTGTGACTCACACAAGTTCCAGAAAGTGCAACGAGTCCCCAGCAAGGGCTGAGTGATTAAATGTTTCTTTCTCATTAAAAATAAGACGAGTACAGGGTTTATTTAACAAGTTCTGAAGCCATCGAGTACCAAGGTATGATTGGTACAGGATTCCATAAACTCAACTAGATTTGTAGGCTGTCTTTATTGAATCACATTTAATCTGTGTAAGTCTAAAATCAAAATAACCCAATTTTCGGAAGTTAGTAAAAACAGTATATTCATGATTTGGTTTATGGAAAATTGGCTTCGATATGTTTCTATATTGAATCAATTATGTAATTTGGTGTATTGTTTCAATTCAATTACCTCGTTTGCCTGCCAGGCTTCCTCAGAGGGTTTAGTGACCACAAGTGAGGGCGGCTTGGCTACGTACAGTGGAAAAAACATGGCTTAGGTATATCTGTTCTATTCGATCTCTGGGGTCCACCTTTTACCAGCTTTGTGACTTGGGTATAAAATTACCCATCTGAGAAGGCTGGCTGTTTGTTCAACCATTCAACAATATTACTAAGCACCACACTATTTTGATAGAAATAAAACAGTGAGCAAGAACACAGTCTTATTAGAGTAGGCACTTCAGGGCAGGCACCCAAAAGAAGTGAGACCTAAACCCAGGCTAGCAAGGTAAGCAGAAATTAGTTATGAGGAGTATAAATGTGGGGACAGAGGAGTCAGGTAGAGGAAATAGCATGTGAGAAAGCTGGGCAGGGACAGGAAACAAAGCACATTTGAAGGTCTGAAAGAAATGAGACTAGCTGAAGCACAAGATGCAAAATTGGTAGTGATGAAAGATGAGGCTGGACAAGTGGACAGCACTGGGTTGCTAAGGACCATGGAAGATACACTAAGGAAACTCCCCTCTATGCTAAGTGCAGTGGGAGACCATGAAATGAGACAGTGTGTGGAAAGCAGCCCCAGCAGTGCCAGCACATGGCAGGTGGACAATAAACTTTAGCTTCTCTCCACCCCCATGATTAACCCACCCTGTGTTATCCCAAAG